TCATCTTGAAAACAATGCAAGCGGCGAAGTTGTGGTGAATGCACGTATAGTCCAAGTAAAAATTTCAGTACTGTGGTGAGTAGTTATTTTCTTATATATATTTCGTTGTAATTTATATAAGGCTATATGTGATTTGTTGATAAGTAACATTTTCTAATAAAAAATATCAATAAAATACTTAATTCCGAATTATAATCTCAAATTTGTATCCCAATCATCAGTACTGTGTCGTCAGTTCCAAGTTCGATCTTTCGGTTATCTTTTTTTCGCAAACTTCAATTTAAATTCTTGCGCAAAACTTGTTTATTTAATGTCATTATAAACTCATATGAATTTGGTGTGGGTTCCATATCGAATAATTGATATATCGGTATACCCAAAATCCACCAGCCGCCACTGATGTGTGGTATTATTTGATTTTAAGATATTTAATGTATAATATGCTCAAAGTTGCAATAAATCTTATATTTTCCAATAAATTGTGTATTTAATTATCACCCTGGTATACTCGTCACTTCCCTTGCATTCTAATTTAGAAAACACAGATATTTCAGAAACTGTTTGAAAAAGTGACTGGTCCAGTCTGGAACAGTATATTTATTATATTATCTATGTTCTCATAACAAAATACTGTTTAATTTTCTCCGAAAACTATATAAACAAAATGAGGTCATAAGTTGTAGAATCACCCATATCATAAATCATTTTCCAACATTTTTATGAATTTGTTTTATGTTAAATCAAATCTTCTTCAAAATTTATTTTGAATTCTTTTATATTCCACACTTTTCCATTTAAATTTCTCTTCTAAAATTCTTTAAAACTGGTGTTCCACAAGGAGCTAACATAAATGACTTAAAACTCCCCCTAATCAAAATTAATTGTAACTCATATTAACGGTGTTGGTTGCCTCCCATGTTTCCAAAATAATAATTGCAAAAATCCAGTGAAAAATGTCCTGACCTTGCAAATAGTGACTCCACTAATTTTAATGAAGATGAAGACGAATTCTCTTTCATATATCAATACAGCGGTGTTGTGTAATTGATGGTAAATACGTTTAAATACCGCCAAGCCATCAGAGTTAATTAAATATTTCATTTTAAATGAATAATGATATTTTTCAATTACCGGTAATTATAATAGGGTAATAATGGGGAGCCTAATGGGCGTTAATTAAAAATAATTAAAAAGTGCGTTTGATATAGAAGAGATTAAGGATTTTATGAAGTTTTGTTTTTGGTTGATGTATACCCTGTAATTTTTAAAGAATTCTATATACCCTGGTATTTGTTATAATTAATGGAGAATATGGTTTCGCTTACATAGTTTAATTTCATCAGAGCTGGAAGTAACTTAGATACTTTTTATATTGGACAGAAAGTATCTTTAACTAAGTTACTTTGGAAAAGTACGTATCTTGTAACTTGTATCTAAAAAAGTATCTAAGTTACTCGGTAAAGTAACTAGATACATTCAAGTAACAGATACTTTCTTAGAGAAAATTGGGGGAATTCCAGAATGATTCGAAGTACGTAATCGTCGTAATTACCTAATCTACAACTTGTTAAATTTTCATAATTTTATAGTTTTTATTCATACTTAAAAGTATCTTAGTTACTTAGTTACTTAGTTACTTAGTTACTTAGTTACTTATAGTATAGTTACATATAGTATCTTAGATACTTTCGGATAGTATCTTATATACTTTTTAAAGTATCTTGTAACTAAAGATACTTTTAACTCAAAGTATCTAGTTACCAGAGGTAACTAAGTTATTTTGTTTGAAGTATCTTAGAAAAGTAACTAGATACTTTTCAGAAGTAACTTTTCCAGCTCTGAATTTCATCAACTATTCGTCATGTATGGTCTTTCAAATTGACCCATAAAAAGTCTAGGATCATAAAATCGTAGGACCTTGGTGGCCAGCTTACATCATGTTGTAACTTGGCCACATCCTTATGGGACTTTTGCTCATGTTATAAAATTATTAAGTAGATTTCATTTGCCAGGTAGGCCATTAATCAAAAACAATATTCAATTCTTCGTCGGCGATTTCTAAAATTTTAAGTAACTGTATATGAATCTCGTTATTTCCGTTCGCGGCGGGATTCGTGGGAATCCTTTGGGCTTGCAGCGCCTCCTCTTTATTGCGAACAATGGAAATAATTAATTTTGCATTGTTGGCTACACTGCAATGACACCGACACAGGCTACTTAATCTTGATGTGTAACGAGGCTCTTATAATTCTTTGATAAATTATACCACCATGTTTGAAAGTGATGAAATTTATGAATTCGAAAATTACTTGACGTTTTCTTTCATTGGTAACTACATATATCTCTCTAATTTGTTTTATATCCTTGAATTTCAACGACTTCCAATCTGAATTGATGATGTATTGGATTTTGGTGTAATCATAGATGTTTAAAGATGCAGGCCAAAACCATTAACCAAATTTATGCAAACTTCTTTTGAATTACCAATGCACTTTTATTCTTCCCCATAGCACCAAGTTCTACCTGAGTAATCAGTGATTACATGTTTGCATGGACAACGTCATTATAAATTACCAAAAATGCGTTTTAAAGTAAACAGTTTCTGCATAATAACGATTAAAATATAAACTGTTATTTACCATATTAACATAAGTAATCTCTTTTATTTTAGCTTCTGAACTGTTCGTCTATCTACAAGTAGGTATTTTGAAACAGTTTTATTTTGTTTTTAATCATTTAAATTTATTAACGTTCGCACAAGAATACAAAAATTGTTGACCACTCCTATACAAGTTAATGGTATATTGTGTATCAAGTTTGATACACGCCATTTTAGTCACGAATTTAATTTAGGCACTAGCGAGCTTGCGAGCGAGTGCTTAATTAAATGAGTGCATAGAAAACTTTATAAACGAGTTGCATACTATACTTTTTCATATACAACATATACTTATTATTTAAATTAAATAATTGTATAAGGCGACATCTATACAAAATAAGGTAATCATCCCAATAAATATTTTTGACGTAATTTTCACTATTAATATTGAACGTTATTATTTTAATTAAACTTAAAATTTATTGATTCTTGATACTATAATATTAAATTATCTTCAAAACATGATTATTTGTTTTTTTTTACTATAATTGCAAAATATTTTTAAAAGTATTAAAAATTCTTACACGGAAAATGTTAAAAGTAAAAAAAGTGACTTGGGAATCTACCGGCGTTAAAATCTCAAATTTGTCTGTGTAAATCAAAGTTTATCCCTTAAAAATAGAAAAGAGAAGAGAATGATTTGTTGTACGAAAAATTTTAAACGCTCTACCAGACAACTGTCAACTAACTTAAAACTTACTTCAGCCTGTGACTAAAAACCTGTTGCCAACTTCAGCCCGTGACTAAACCGTCATAAACCCACAACTTGTCAAGGTGCATTTAAATTTAAAGGTGGTGTATACACTATAGTCATGTAGACATGTACGATAATGGGTGTTTTAAAGGTGGGAGTAGAAAAACTTTAAGACCATGTGGTACTTTTTTGAATAGTCGCGATGGTGATTCTGTAAGTTTAGTTTTGGTAAGATTAAGGTTATTAGAACAAATAAAGGTATTTTAGGATTAATTTTCAAGCCTTCTTCTGATTTGATTTTCTATTTGGAAACTATGAGATTATTTCTTCCAGTTCTCCATCATATAATTGGACCATTACTAGACTATTACTTATCGCGGTAAAGCATCGATTACCAAGTAAATGTAGGTGGTTTTACTACACAGAAGCTGTCAACATGTCTTGATTTATACCGACAGAAAAAAACGTGGATCAACCCCTCTGAAGTTTCTTCCTAACTCTTAATTCGTCGCTTTTACACCCTTTAAGATCAACTGGCACCTGAACACTTAGAAATAATTACTTAATTATATAAGGGGTGTTAAGAATTATAAATTCTCTGAGTGGATTGTGAATATGGTATCGATCGGTAGTTGATAATTGTTAGAAATAAAGGGTTTAGTATCTTTGGTTGGATCTATTGGTCTATTTCAAAGCAAAAAACAGTTTTGTAAATTCTGTTTAATCAAATAATTATAACACCTAAAAACTTATTATAAAAAGTATTTGGTCATGAATTGAAAATGTTTAATTGGTTTATAGCCTAACGGGTATTTTGAGGGCATTTGTTGTTAAGAAAAATATGTTTTTTTGATGTTTTGGCCAACCCTAGACAGATTAATAAAAGTATAATATACATATTATGTTTTGTCTCTTAAAGCGCAGACCATGTTATTAGGCAACCCAGTATACATTTTTATGGAATGTTGCCGGGTTTTCAAAATGTTAAAATCAGACTGTACATTTCCGAAGGTTTTTATTGCTATACCACCACAGTTTTTGGGACATTCCATCCCAAAAGTGTAAATAACGTTTTACGTTACATCACAAGTAGTTTATAAATTCGGTTAATAAAGAAAAAAGAAGCATGGCAACGTCGCAATCCACTTATAAACCGGCCACCTATAATCTCCTCACGCGTAGGTCCAAAAAGCTCTGGCCAGAAAGGCACCAACAAACGAATAATAAAAATTATAATTTGAAGATAATTCCGCCACACATGTAAGAGTAAATACGCGTTTTACATAATAACATACTATTTTTACGGGGAATATTTGTTTTCCACTATTTACTCGGTCTTATCAAATTAAGTGATACCTTTGGGCTGAACATTGCACTAAAGATTACCGTAATAATATCAGCCTCGTGCAATGCGGGCATTTGAATGTTTGAACAATGTAGGTATTACTTATGATAATGGGTATTGAAGTATTTTGCTTGTTCTGGTTAAATTAACTTATAAATTTTTAGTTTTCCCTCTGGAAGACAGCTAATAGAACAAATACTATAATTTTAAAATAGAAGCTATTTTCAATTTTCCCTTGGGCTATATTACAGTCTGTCTTACCTAGGTAAGACAGCTAGTAAAAATTAAATAAATAAGTATCCAAAATTTAATTTACATTTAGGTATATAAATATAAAAATATTTACTGTATTCAAATAAATTATTCAATTTGCTCCTTTATTTCCTGTCGTTTCAGTAGTCTTTTTAGTCTTCAGCTTACTCAATATCATTTCTATTGTCCATGTTACAGTACAAATTAAATAGGCCAATGTTAAAACATGGATCACCATTGCATCACTACCAGTTACAGCTTTAATATAACCTGAAAAAAAATATTAATATTTTATCATTAAGCTAGCAATACAGTTCTACAAAACAAAAAGAATGATGGACACAAATTTGACTTTGCTCCAAATTTTGTAGAACTGTATCGTAAATTTGACAATTTACTCATAAGTGGTCCAAATATAAGGCTTATAACCCCACAAATAACCATGTAGAAAGAAAAAGCAGTGGAAAAATTGCTAGGATATTCTTCTGTTATGACCAAAGGTAGTGGTGTTTGGATTAGGCATCTTAGAAAACCCAGACATGAACACATCACCATCGTCCACATATATCCATTGCTCATCAAAAAACCTTTAAAATATGAACCATCAATACTTATATAACATGAAAAATTTAACATGTATCTTACCGCATCTAAACGCAGCTGACAGAGTGGTACCCAACAAGAATATGTGTCTATTTTTAATTGCTAATACTGTAGATACAGCAGAAAGTAATATTCTCGAAGTAAAATCTGATACAAACAATACTGAAATTAATACAGCTATTTCAGAGGAGGTAAAGTTTTTGCCCGTTAACACCATAGGAAGAATTGATATAAACGCTAGGTCTGAAGTGAATGAAAGAGACATTCCTATGGATATATTGATGAATTTTGGGTCTTTGAACAAAGATAAGTCGAATAATTTTTGTTTTGGTTGATCTCTGAAAATTGTTATATTTTAGGTATTATTATTATTATTGTTGTTATAGACTTACTCAGTATTTAGGGTGTATTTAGATAAGGTTCTTTCCATTTCTCCTGTTGATGATATAGACAAAAAGCGTTCACCTAAGCTTGCTATAGATGGTCTAGGTTTTGTTGCAAGGTATTTCTGATAAAGTCTTATATTACTTTCATTTAAACCTTCCTCCATCAGTGGTTGCATCTGGTCTTTCGTTGCCAAATCATTCAATGAAACTGATTTGGTCTTAACATCATCAATTCGCACTAAAAATACTGGATTATTACCATTTAACTTTATATCTAAATTCTTACAATATTTATTTTCTATATGCTCCAAAATAGGTATTTTCTTTAAATGTCTCTTGACTGGTTGCAGGCTCAACACCCCAGGTAAACAATTCAGACTCAAAGCAGCCAATAGAGCCACTGAGGCTCTAAAACCATATGTGTCCATACATAATTTTGCCATAATGGGAACCACTATATTCATGGCGGCCATAAAAGATTGACATAGCCCCATCATGACGTTTATTCTCTTCTCGAAATACGTATTCAAAGAGGAGTAAACAGCTGGTAATAGTAAACCAAAACCAATACCTTGGATAACGCCAAAAAACAGAACCATTTGTATTAAATTTGTTACAAAAATTGTTGCGAATTGACCGGTGATAAAAATTGTGGCTCCTAGTATACCTACTGTTCTATGGGAGTATTTTTGCAGGAGGATATTAGAAAGAAGACCTACGATTAATTTTGAAGTTTTACATATTAAAAGTATTCTAAATTTGGGTATTTACCAGTAAATGAAAATACAGTATTGAACATTCCATTTGCTAAAGTGGTACCGGTAGTTTCATCTCCAATATCGGCCAGAAAATTACCGAAAATAAGTCCAAATGCGCATTGAGGTTGAGCAGTAACATTCTAAAATATATTTAGACTTAAAACGAAGTCACAGGTAGGTACTTTTGTCATTTAAATTTTTAAAATATATTTCCAATAATTTACCACTATAACTGTCACAGCTACTGCTACAATATAACCCCAACCCCCCTCAGGGGGAGTTAACTTGTACTTTATCTCATTTTTAACACTTTTCTCTTCTTTTAGAGAGTTTATACTGGTGGAAGACATTTTTAACAAGCATTGAAACCAAACTAATTGTACAATTCGTTTTTAATTTAGGACTTAATATTTTAATGATAACATAAGTTTCATATTTACCTTTAAATTATAGAGATATAATACAACCTTTTTGTCATTTTACACAATAATTTAAAAAAAAATTATAACGAGCGTATTTTAATCCATTAATTTTTTCAAGCAAGTTAATAACCATTAGTTTCTAGAAAGATATAGAACCAAATTTCAAGATTAAAAAATAGCGCAAAGCATTTTTGTATATAAAATATAAATTTTCTCTTAACAGCTACCTAAATCTTCATTTATTTATATAAAAATATTTGTTCTTCACTTAACTTAAATATTTACGAGACAAACCAAGGACACAGGTTAAATGCAGTTGCTATTGATATAAGATATTTTTTAGGTTGTATTTAATTTGCATTTAAATAATTAATTTAGTATTTATATGTAGATTATTATTACACAGATCTAGAAAATTTAATTTAGTTTAAATCAGACATCAGAATTCCTCCATAAATAAAATTTAAAACCAAAAAGGCTTCAAGAAGATTCAGCTACTCTAACCAAATACTGACTTCAAAGAAGATTCATCCTTTCAACTCATTCGTATTTTGCGATTTTAAAAATAAAGAATACCATATTTTAAAAGACGTTTATTCAACTTAATACAACTATTACATAAACTAAAATATATACAATTAATCCTTTTAAAGTACATTAAAAGTATACCATAAAATAAAGCAAAACATCACCTTATATATATGACAATTTTAAAACGGTGGTTGATTAAAATATTATTATTTTACGGTATACAATAATTTTGCACAAATTCAGTCTTATTAACCTAGTATCACAAAAAAATGTTATAAAGTAAGATAAAAATGAACTGCCTTAAGTTTTAAAACTTTTAAAAATTAAAACAAAGGGAATCTCTTAAGTATAGTACGTTGCATATAAAAAGTTCGAATTTTTTACACTTTAAAGTGTATGATATATACAACTGATAATTCTTAAGATATATGGAATATCAGACTCAAAGTTTAGTCAGTTTTAATTTTAAACATGATATAAGTCAATTTCTGATTAATAAAAACGTTTATACTTATAAATAAAAAATGTAGTGGGGTAATTTGTCATAGAAATATTTAATACTGGTATATTAAAATGGACTTGATTGGCAGTAAAATTATGTCTACTAAAAAAATCTTGTACACGTTAAAACAGATTTAATTTAGTATGAAAAATACACTACAGTATTTTTTGTTATATAGTTAATTTTATATTTCGAAAAATATATTTACAAAATGATATCAATTAAAAAAATGTATATTTTTGAAATATAGTTGGTTCTACTTGATATTAAGTAGTTGGTAATTTTTTTTAGTGTCCAGACATGTCGCGACCTGAGAATTAGATTGTTCTATCTCCCAAAATTTAAAGAGGAACAAATAGCAGTTTAAAGTTTAATTTATATACAAATTTTAAAAAGCTGTTTTTGCGTGTTTAGGTTTTGGGAGAGTCTATATTTTAAAAATCTAACACGGAAAAACAGCTTTTTAAAATTTCATTTGTATATAAATTAAACTTTAAACTGCTATTTGTTCTTCTTTAAATTTTGGGAGATAGAACAATCTAATTCTTAGGTCGCGATGTTTTATAAGTTAAGAACCATTTAAATAATGTTGTGTAGGTATATGGTCTTCTGCATGCAGTGCCCAGATTTTAGTAGCAGCAAGTTTATTGTTTTTTAATTAAAGTGTTTTTTATTTCAAGATTTGCTACCAGGTTCTTAACTTGGGACACCCTGTATACATGTATGTCTTGACACTTATTTTTTTTTATTAAATATCGATATATAAGGGTTTTTAATCATTTACATACTAAATTCACAGCCCTTACATATTAAAATTCTTGCAACGTTAAAGGTAAACTCAATAAAATAAAATTAAAAAATTGTATAGGCTTTTCCACTAACTTTAAAATATCTCCTTAAGGTATTTTTTGGTTTAGAAGGCCTATAAAGTATGATTAATAAAATTAAATTCCACATTAATTATTTAAAATAATTAAATTGACTCTTGCTTTACTTAAAGCCGTTTTATTTGGCATTGTGTATATTTTGAGTAGGTGCATTATTTTTTTTTAAGTCAACTTAATTATTTTAATAGGTACATAATTATACATGTATTATATTATTTTTATAAGAAAATATAAGATGCATATAGAAATCTTACATTTTCATATATTTTGGTTCTATCTAATACTGAATTGTGTTATATTTCCTATGAAACCATTATAAATATTACTAAAGTCTATCTACGTCAAATTTCTGGATAAATGTTGTCAAGGTTTATCAAGAAATTCATTATTTAACCACAAATGGATATGGAAACTCATAGGGAAGCAATGTTAGTACTAAAAAAAAATTGCCATTTTATTGAATTGAAAAAAAAATGATTTTGATTATGTCACTTTATATTGCTCATCGTTAAACAACATCTAAAGGCTAAAAAGGGAAAAACAAATCAATATTAAAAAAAAATCAACATAACACGACAATATTACAACATCTATAACTCCAAACGCCTATTTTTTACCCACTTCTTTTAACTCTAATTTTTATGATGGTAAAAATTAAGCTGTACTTGTATCTGTATCTGAATCGGCGTCTCTGCTTCTCAAGTATATTATTGCGTACTCTATACTCCAAACCATCACGCAAAACATAAGGAGGAACGTTTGACAGTGAAGACAAAGTGGAAAGCTCCCTGTGGCATCTCGAATTATTCCTAAAATGTCAGTTTAGTTGGCTGGTCGTTTACTATCTGGTATGTGCAGGCAAAATTTACCAACGTTTTTTCTTACCTAGAATGGGTCCCATGAATACCACAAACAGCCCTTTTCCGACCATGTGCAGCCCAAATGCTGCTGGTAATTTTTCCAGAGAGGAATATTCGGATATCGTGATGGTAAAATTAATGAGAGCGGCTCCTCTAAAGAATCCGCATATGATAATCCATACTATAATCATGTTATATTCCGTTTGTTCGGCCAGAACTGGAAGAAATAGAAAAACAAGTCAGTATGGTGCTTAGTCCAGAGACTGTCTCACTGAACACAAATGAAACTAACTGAAAAAATCAAAAAGATCGGGATCACAAGCCAAAAACAAAAAATGTTATTGATTTATTTAATATTTTTTTTAAATAGAAACCTGCAAATTGATAACTGAAAATACGCCTTAAAAATACTGATAATCTTACTATTTCTTTATGGTTCGTTACCTATGTAATGGCTCCTTCAGCTGCCAACAAAAAGTCATAAAAACATTAGAAACGTACAAAATGGTTTTGCTTGAAGAACTTAAGAACAAAACATAATTTAGCACAAGTATCAAATCTAGCTCAAAAACCTTTACCAGTAAATTTTAAACTTTCTATCCATATTTTTTATTACAAATTTAATTTAGATTATATTTTTTCCTTTTTCTGTATATAAATTTATTCATTGTTTTTAGTTCCCTACCATAAAAAAATTTACGTGAAAAAATTTAAGAGCTTTTCTATTAATACAAATGCAAGTTTAGTAAAAAATAATCAAGTTCCATTAAATTTTACTTTAAATATACCAAATTTTATTTTTAAATTAATTAAATGTACATAACTAGTTACGCCATCTGAAATCTTTTTAAAATTTTTCAACATCCTTTGTCCTTGTTGAAATTTATGACTTCAAAAACAATTTTAAAGACCATGAGTAGTATTTTTTTATAGCCAAGTTGTGGGGAAACATTTTTTTCTGATGTAAGAAACCACGATTTTTCTAATTTTCTAAAAGGTCATGTTTGATGGAGCAATTTTAAGGTCGAAGTTTGATTTCATTAGCAGTAAGTTATTTTATTGTTTCGACCTTTACTTGATGAAACTCCATGTTACTTATGTATAAATGAATAAATACATTGCTCTTAAGTTTCACTTCTTTAGATTTAATTTTAAAAATTGTTTCACTAACAGTAGCTTTTTTAGCAAACAAATATATTCGCTATCTACTGTGTTGGTGAAACAATTGGCAAAATTAAAATAGAGACTTAAAACTTAAAAAACAGTTTTTTGTTTTTATACATTTATAAATTAATATAATAGTATATTATGAATCAAGTTTCATTAACGCCATTTTATTCACGAATTTAATTTAGGCACTAGCGAGCTTGCGAGCGAGTGCTTAAATTAATGAGTGTATAGAAAAGTTTATAAACGAGGTGCTTACTATACTTTTTCTACGACAAATACTTATTATTATCTTTAAATGATTTAAATCAAAAATTTGTATATAGCGCCATCTACACTGAGAAAAAAGTGTATTGCTCCCAAATAAAAAGAATATTTAAATATGGGACAAGGGTACAGTTTATTTATCCTAAATATATTTTTATTCCAGACACATAAAGTTTTACTAAAGTATATTTATCGTTATTATTTCGACTATTTAGAGGTAATAAACAATATATTCACTATTAATAAAAGTATTAGCTACACAGTTTATTTGTCCCATTTTTTTCTCAGTGTATGAAACAATAGGGGAATCTGTGTGTCATCGTCAAATGTAAAATTTTTACATTTTATAAACACAATTATAAAGGTTATAAATCGAAATGTATTTCTTGAAAATTGACAGTTTTTCACAGTGAAAGTAAAGAAAATGTTTTATGCGCACTTTACAGTGGAGTCCGTGCCCGAATTTAAGTTATAGTTTACTGCCGGCGAAATTAAAAGGTCAGTACAATGTTCATATAAACTTTTCAAATATTGGCGTTGAGAAACTATTTAATACTTTTGTATATTTGTATTGAGATAATAAATAATTTTCACATTTAGTATTATTTTACAAAAAAAGGCACTTTATTTTAACGATTGTATGACATTTAACAACTGTCAACTAACTTAAAACTAACTTCAGCCCTTGACTAAAAACCTGTTGCTAACTTCAGCCCGTGAATAAAACGCCATAAAGCCACAATTTGTCAATGTGTATTTAAAAGGTCACTTAGTGTCATGGAAACATGTACGATAAAGGGCGATTTAAAGGTAAAAAAATATAATATACGTATTCATTTAAATAAAGAAATAAATAATGACAATAGTGTGATAATAATTGGAATAAATTTTCACATAAACAAAAAGAATTATAAAGTGTACAAAGAAAATTGTTTATCTTTTAATTAAAATTTAAAAATTAAATTTGGTTTTCTAGCACAGTATACAAATTATTTTTTACTAAAATATTTAAAAAAAATAAAATTGTACAATAAACAAAGTAAAATATTCATTAACGAAAAAGTGCATACCTACAATAAAATGCTTTTGAAATAAAATAAAACAAATATTCCGAAGTAAAAATACATTTTTACAATTTAAAATCCCTATCTTAACACAGTTAAGAAAATCTAATAATAATAATAATAACTTGAAGACTTGAAAATTCCAAACTGAAAATCATGTGCCAATTGACTTTTAAAATTGATAGATAGATAGATAAATAAAAAAATAAAAACACAAGTGGATGCTTACCTGATCTACATATACCCAAAATAAATATCCCCCCCATAAACAACGTCCTTTTCGTTACTGGAAGACGGTCGCAGATAGGTGGCAGCACCAGTCTAGCCAGGATGTCGGTTGCTCCCTGCAGCGATAGGAAAAACGCGATGTCCGATTTGTCGTAGTTAATCGATTCGAAGAAGAACGGCGTGATCATCTTGAAGTTCTGCTCGGCGACGTAGACGATCGACAAACCAAAAACCAAGTTCAAATAAATCGGGTCTTTCAGCAGGTCAAAGTCCATGAATTCTACTATGCGCTTCCAAAGCGACTGCTGAATTTTTTCGTCCAATTTTTCATTCACCACGGGAACCTCCTTCAGATATTTACGTTCTGGTGATAACATATTACCCGGGTAACTCATATTTCGTCGGAGTTTTTGGGTTGATACGTAAACTTCATTATCTCTCTAAAATTATTGCTATATAAACTTTACTTTGAAGAATTATGACGACACTTACATCCAAATGTAGCTGGATACTGGACCCAGTAACATCCAATCTTGAATAGCTAGAAACAATAGACATGGTGTGCGACAATTTTCTCTTCCTTGGCCCCATAAAACTCGCAGTGGAAAAATTTCTCGGAAAATTAGGAAAAGTGGCCTTCCTCGTCAAACCATTCAATTGCACTGGTTTAGTTAATTCCTCCATTGTTTTTTTAGCCAACTCCAAGCTAATCAAAGTTTCACCTTCTTGGGCATCATCCTCATCTTCAGTTTCTTTTATGGTCTCCATTTCCTAAAAATTAATCTTCGATAAAGGTAACACTGATGATTTTGGAAGAATATCAGAAAATGAATGATGATTTAAAATGTTGAAAATTGAAAAATATCAAAAAGCATGCTTAACTCATGCAGAAACCACCTTTATATTTTACCTCATTTGACGCAAAGAAGAAATATATTCTATTCTGCATTAATCAAAAAAGAAACACGTGTTAACCATTTATTGTATTCACCCTTAAAAACATTTTTAAACGTCAAAAATTACCTTGACATGTGTAGGACAATCCTCCTCAGCTTCCGGGACAAAATACTTTTCCGCCGGTTCCAACAATGAAGAACCCACAAGGGAATTCAACGCGAAACCCCCCATCACCAAAATGGCGCCTCTGAACCCGAATTCCACCAAGAGATACTTGATGGCTTGCGGCATCACCATCATACCGAATGCTGTACCGGCTAAGGAGTAACCTACAGCTTGACCTCGACGTTTTACGAAGAAATGATTCAGTGCTACGAATGTTGACGATGAGGTTAAGCCTACTCCCAAGCCTAAATAAAACATCAGTATCAGTAGGTTCTATTTGAACAAAAGTACTCATCTTACCGTTGATAATACTGTATGTGGCGAGTATATGGGTCATGCTTCTGGCTGGATAGGTGAGGATCATGCCGGCACCACACAGCATCGAGCCTACGAGTGCCACTTTTCGATATGAGAAGGCACGAATCAGAGGTCCAACAAACAGTCCGGAAAAATTGATGAGTGCATCCAACGTGCTCATAATGACGGCTGCCCCGGTGGTTCCCACATTGACTTCCTTCAATAGGTCTCCAAACAGTAAACCGAATGATGTTTCTATACCTCTGGTACATAACTGTAATTTTTTTTTAGTTTAGAGAGTTATTATTTGGGAAGCAACTAGAGATGTAAAAAACGGTTTTTTTCAGATGTGAAAAAAACATGAAAAAAAACTAGAAACAAACCGTTTTTTTTTGTTTTTTTCCTAATCCGCTACAATAAAGCATATTCTGTAAATAAATAACATCAATCTTAAAAAATGGAGTAATTTTTCAAAATGATTTTGAGTAAAATGTATTAAAGTGAAATGTAGAATATATTACATTTTTCATTATTGAAAATTTTGACCGAGACTAAAAAATCTGATTATTTGGTAGCTTCCACATAAGAAACCAATATCAAAATATCCAATTTTTTTGCGATTATTCGGTTAGCTTCGTTAAAAATGGTCGTATTGGAACCGTAAAAAAAACAATTTGAAGCTTGGAGTTTCTAGTTTTAAGATTTTTAGATGAAAAACGTGCAACGCTCAATCCTAACGATAACCGTAATAAAAAAAATTCGAAATTTTTTTGGCTTTCTTTTTTGTTCCACGGAATGTTCTGATTTAACCACCAATAAATAAAAGTTCTACAAGAACTTGCTATTGTTTCAAAAAAAAGACTTCCATACTCTACATGAATTTGAAAAATCATGAAAAAAGTGCTTTTGGTATCTTTTTAAAAAATCAGGCGCTGAATCAAAAATATTATAGGTATCCCTATAATATTTTTAACTATAGTTACTTTTTTTAGGACCAAATCAAAACAAGCGCGGCCCTTATTGGTCAGTTCGGTGGTAGTGGCGCGTGTATGGCGCGAGACTGCAGTCTGTATACATGTATTTACATTTACTAAATGAAATTTAGTGGCTAATTTTAGTCCATGAACTGGACTGGAAACATAAAAAATTAGCCAAATGGGACTAAAAAAAACCATTTGAAAAAAACAAAAAAACGGACCGTTTTATTTTAAGTCGCATCTCTAGAAGCAACTGATTAAATTCATTTAATGAACAAAAGATATTTCTCCTAAAAGTGTTAATAGATATGGGATTTTAGGTTGCCAAATTTATAAAAATAGGTACCGTTTTTTCTTGTTTTAGGTAAGAACATTCTTAAATTAGCTACGTACTTTACGAAAATATATACTGGAAAGCAACTTTTAGGTGGTAAAGTAATTTAATTTAATATTGTATAAAATTGACCAAATAAGATTTTTATGTTTAAAAAATTTGAAAATAACTGACGAATATATCTTGTAAACATATTATAATATCTTCATAAATTTTATAATTGTTTTTAGGCTTTTGTCATTATGATAAAAATGTTTTAAAAAATACGTTCTCATAAAAAAACACAAATTTACTAAAATTTGTGAAAATACATGAGATTTTTAAATAAAACATAATAACACGAGATTGATTGGAAAAACTTGAGGTCTCAAGCATGAGACCTGGCAACATTGCATAGAAATGTCATATTCGCGTCGCTGTTCGCGATTCCCAGTACCAACCACTACCAACCAACCCACATTACCAATCCTGTACAACAAAAATAACTACATGGTGCATAAGAATTATGTCATCCGAATACGACAACCCAAATATTACAAAAAAATTGTTTCATTCGTGTTAAAAATAAGAATTTAGGTGAAATAGTTTGGGTAAAATAAAATCAGGCCCAAATGAAATTAATTTCTTCAAAAGAAATGTTTATAAACTTTATGTTTTTTTCAACCAATTATTGAGATAAAGACTTCTTTCTTGAGAAAGTGGAAAGGAATTTTCGGTTCACAGAATGTAAAGATGATGGAGTTAAAGAATTACTAGAATCAGATGAACAAGGACCGTTAGCACCTGTTTTTTAAACACTAACACATAATTGTATTCGTATAAAATATTTATAATTTACCTAGGCCTTCTTCTTATTTGTTTTTCTTTCATTTTACTCAGAAAATATTTAATATTAAACGACAATAAGTTATTTGTACTGTCTATAATAATTGACAACTAAATTTTCTATAAAACATGATAAAACATGAAACAAATGAGGCGAAATTTAAATATTTTATTAATTAAAATAAGTACGATATTATGCATTCATTATCATTATTTTGCACGTGTTCTTAAAACCAGGTCACTTCAAAAAATTCCACGACTAAATTTTTATACACCTAAACAATTAAGGTTAAGATATTGCCACATTGGCGGTTTTTAATTAAAAACTTGAGGTCTCAAGCATGAGACCTGGCAACATTGCATAGAAATGTCATATTCGCGTCGCTGTTCGCGATTCCCAGTACCAACCACTACCAACCAACCCACATTACCAATCCTGTACAACAAAAATAACTACATGGTGCATAAGAATTATGTCATCCGAATACGACAACCCAAATATTACAAAAAAATTGTTTCATTCGTGTTAAAAATAAGAATTTAGGTGAAATAGTTTAGGTAAAATAAAATCAGGCCCAAATGAAATTAATTTCTTCAAAAGAAATTTTATTTCATTGCACCTAAAGTTATGATTAGTGTAGACAAATAGGTAATAACACTAAAATCCCATCTCTACTTATAGTGTTCTCATGAAAAACTATTTCCTGTAAAACAATTCTTTCGTTATACATATTGTTGTCTGGCAGTTATCTATCGATTTCCAGTATTTAAGTCATGTTTATAAATAGCGAGTAGCTTGATGAGTTTATTGATTGCGTTAAAGGCGCGGGAATTTAATGCAAGTACAAGCTGAAGAAGTGGGACTTACGTTGACAAGGCTAACCCCGATGACAATAACCCACCCCCAACCGCCGTCTGGAGGGACCATTTTTCTTTGCTCCACAAACATGTTTCCGTCCAATCTGAAAAATGAAAAAAAATGTTTATAAACTTTATGTTTTTTTCAACCAATTATTGAGATAAAGACTTCTTTCTTGAGAAAGTGGAAAGGAATTTTCGGTTCACAGAATGTAAAGATGATGGAGTTAAAGAATTACTAGAATCAGATGAACAAGGACCGTTAGCACCTGTTTTTTAAACACTAACACATAATTGTATTCGTATAAAATATTTATAATTTACCTTGTTAGGAATTCATAAATTTAATTCAGTAATTTAAGAAAAACATATCTTTAATAGAGTAAAAGCTTGAATACAATTTCGTATAAAAACGCTTAGACTAACTTGACATAACTCTTTAAACTGAAACCAAAAACTGTGAACATTCAAATCAATTCATATATTGTTTATATTAAGGCTTTGCAGCCGTCCAGGCAGGAACCTGAGTCAGCATCGCGAGAGAAGCAGGGCCGTATCCCATGATTCTCTAACATTCGGCCATCCTGGGAGTTGGGCTGTCCTCGGCCGACACGAACTTCTGTTATTAGTCATCAGTCATCAGTCATCAACATTGTACTGATCTTGTATCAGTCTTTAAAAATATGGTACTGATCTTGTATCAGTCTTTAAAAACATCGTACTGATTTTGTATCAGTCCCTAAAATATGGTACTGATCTTGTATCAGTCTTTAAAAACATTGTACTGATCTTGTATCAGTCTTTAAAATAATGGTACTGATCTTGTATCAGTCTTTAAAAATATGGTACTGATCTTGTATCAGTCTTTAAAAACATCGTACTGATCTTGTATCAGTCCCTAAAATATGTTACTGATCTTGTATCAGTCTTAAAAACATTGTACTGATCTTGTATCAGTCTTTAAAATAATGGTACTGATCTTGTATCAGTCTTAAAAACATTGTACTGATCTTGTATCAGTCTTTAAAATAATGGTAATGATCTTATATCAATCTTAAAAATAAGCAATACTGACCTTGTATCAGTCTTCATCAGGCTTAGAAGTAGCTTTCAACAACACCCATGGTTTAATTTTATCGACGGCCACTACAGTCTTGAACTTTTTATTTCCTCGAACATCGCATACTGCATAACGGTCGTTATAGAGGACTTTTGTGACCTTAAAAGGTCCTTTAAATTTTGGGAGGAGTTTACGACTAGTCCCCGTAGCTGGGGCGTCAGTCTTCATCACCATCACCACGTCGTCTTCCTTGTACTTCGCGGCCTTTGCTCGCGCTTTATCAAATCGTTCTTTTTGTGCCTTTTGATTTGCAGTTAATCGTGTCGAAACTTCATGCCGTAAAGCCTTCAAATCTAATCGCTCTAAATTTTCTCCTACTTCATTTGAAATTCGAGCGTCAGCTAAATTACGTGCCTTTGTGACATGTCGAGTTTTCGTGTCCTTGACTGGTTCTAAGACAACAAACTTCATAAAAGCATCCACAATGACCAAAATAAACTTATTTCTTCGTTTACTTGTTACGAACGGACCCAAATGGTCAGCATGCAAGGTATGGAATGGTGTAGCAACTTTCTCAATAGGATGGAGTATTCCCTGTTTCTTGCCACTGGGATTCTTGTAATACATACAGTTTAAACAAGCGTTCAAGTATTTCTTTACGAAAGACTTCATCCCTGCAATAATTCTTTTTATTTTGTCTTTATCATTAACTGTCATGCGATAGCGCCTGTAAACAATAGTCTCCTCTGCTTTGCATTTTATAGTCATTTCTACAGCATTTGTTTTACCCAGCTTTTTCAAGTTGGTAGCCACGCAATCATTAAAATTTCTAAGTAAACAAAATACTAATTGTTTTTGTTTTTCTGATAAAGGTCCGATGTTTAAATTATTTAACGGTAATTGATCCTCGTCAAATACTTCTGCAATATTAACTCTAACAGTGGATAAATCAGGCAAAGTCCGTAATGTAACACGATCTGCTATTTTTAATAACATCACGTGCGATTGGTTTATGAAATCTGTTCCAACTATTAAATCGTAGTGCATCTTGTCGTCTTTTAAAATTAATGCATGTACTACAGCAGTAACCCCTTCAATTTTTATAGTTACTTCCGATATTAATTCACTGACTATAGTATTACCCATAAAACCTCTCAGCATAACTCTTTGAGTATCAGGTACAATTGTTAATTTTAATCGAGACGCCGTTGAATGCTTCATTATTGTACGACCGCTACCTGTATATACCAGAGCTTTTAGTTTAAAACCATTTATCAAAACTGTCTTTAAGTAAGGATTGTTTGTTTTTAAATCCAAATTAACATCAACTGCGTTACTTGTATAATTTTTCGTTATATTTTTTGACCATCTGCAATTTTTTTCTTCATGACCTACTTTATGACAGCGCTTACATTCTATTAATGGCTTAGGGCAGTCCCGAACGCGGTGATTTCCATGGCAATTATAACATTTCATGCTTTTAGAGCACGTACGATCGTCTTGATTATTTTGTTTATATTTGGTATTAAAAGGTTCAGTTTTATTGTCGCGTCTATGGCCTGTTTGTGTTTGGCTTGAAGTACCTGCTCCCGTATTACGTAAATAAGCAGCAAGGTCACCGATGGTAATAAATTTAGCGGCTTTTAAAGATAGTTTTAAATTATCGTTGTCAATACCTTCAATGACACTGTCTATTAAATAGTCTTCAGGGATATTTAATTTTAATTTGTTAAGCTTGGCAACTTTTTCGAAACAATAATCGCCAAGATTTTGCCTGGATAAAGGCGCATAATTAGCTGCCTCCAACAATAATCGTCCAAAACGAATAGGAGTTGGAAAACTTTTTAGTATTAATTGTTTCATTTCGCTCCATTCCATACAGGGGTTCGACAAAGAGTCATACCATTTGCGAGCATTACCCTGTAATCGACTGGTAACAAGCCGAATAATTGTTTTATCATCCCATTCATAAAAAATTAGTAAATCATCTACTTTTCTCACCCAATCCACGGCATCTTGGTTTTCAACAGATGGATCGAAAGCGGGAATTAGTTTTTCGTCGATCGTTACCTTGAGCCCCGTAGAATTGGTTCGCACTTTCTTTCGTAGAGATTCCACTTGTTTTTTCAAATTTTGCACTTTTGCTTTCGCTCTTCGATTTCTTCTGGATGGGCCAGAACTTGAACTTGTAGACGAAGAACTACTACTGCTACTTGAGGAAGACGTCGACTTGCGACGTCGACGCTTTGTTTTTCCCATCACTGAATGTTCTCACTGTTCACTTATAAACAGAAATTCCTTAACTGTCGTAATAACTCGCACTTGAGTCACTTTTCAGTTTTTGCACAATATTACCGACCACGGCCGCAATGTCTTTTACACGGCGCGTACTTGGGTGTATCCCACTTCTGATTTGTTAGGAATTCATAAATTTAATTCAGTAATTTAAGAAAAACATATCTTTAATAGAGTAAAAGCTTGAATACAATTTCGTATAAAAACGCTTAGACTAACTTGACATAACTCTTTAAACTGAAACCAAAAACTGTGAACATTCAAATCAATTCATATATTGTTTATATTAAGGCTTTGCAGCCGTCCAGGCAGGAACCTGAGTCAGCATCGCGAGAGAAGCAGGGCCGTATCCCATGATTCTCTAACAACCTAGGCCTTCTTCTTATTTGTTTTTCTTTCATTTTACTCAGAAAATATTTAATATTAAACGACAATAAGTTACCTATTTGTACTGTCTATAATAATTGACAACTAAATTTTCTATAAAACATGATAAAACATGAAATAAATGAGGCGAAATTTAAATATTTTATTAATTAAAATAAGTACGATATTATGCATTCATTATTTTGCACGTGTTCTTAAAACCAGGTCACTTCAAAAAATTCCACGACTAAATTTTTATACACCTAAACAATTAAGGTTAAGATATTGCCACATTGGCGGTTTTTAATATGTAAATATTATGTATAAAAAATCAATTTTATCCGAAATCGGCAGTAAAGTAGAACTTTACAGCCGATTTAATAAGAGTATTGTATGCAACCCATTATACATTTTAAGATGTGTCTACTGCTCCTCAGCAGCAACTAAATAATATTTTTAAAAAAGCACCGTCGCAGAGGTCGATTGTACCGTTTTATAAAATGTTGTTTAATAAAAATAATAAGTTAATTTTATTAATTAGATTAAAAAATCGCCGCGGCGGGCAAATATATAATAATGACATTTGATTTAATCATTTATAATCTGTGAATATTAATTATTAGTATTATTAAATGTGATTTCGAATAAAATTTATTATGCACCTCGGCATTAAAGTCATTTTTTATCACTCACGTGGTTAATAATTTCCACATTCGTGATAAAAAAATGCGACTTTACTGCCTTGATACATAAATAACTATTATTTGACATCTAACATCTTTCAAAGTTCTAACCCCACTTTTCCCAATCTGACAACGATTTTTTGGTAAATACCTACTAGTTTGCTGCCGTCGAAATCAACAAACGTTCATATATTACAATTTTCAAAAATTGGCGTGATAAATCTATATAATAATTTTGTATTGAGATAATTTTAACGATTGTACGACCCCAGCGAACACAACCGTAAAGGTTTTATAATGGTTCTTTATAAACGCGCCTTTAATGAACTCTAGGCCCTATAAAGGCTAACTCATATTATGTCGCGTTCACCTTTGATATGGCGCCCTAAAGCTTAAAGGTACAAATGTTTCAAGCTAAAGTGTCTGGTGTGGGGTGTTAAATATTTTATAGTAGTTATTTAAATAATTTTTAATGGATAAGGGAAGTATCTATTATGGTGGATTAAATGTGCTAGGTTTATATTTATTAGATAAAGATATTCCACGAAAATCAGAAATTGTTATCCCCACCGTCACAATACAATTTCTGACTGTCTGGATAAAAATTTCCGATTATCGTGGGATATCCGACCATTACATTAATTAATATGTTATCGTTAAATGTAATACTAAAACCTTTTATAAATTTACAAGCAATGTGTTGTAATAAAGACCTGTACCTACACCCCGTATATTATTATTGCTTACAAGTCATTATGTACATAGGGGCTTTGTATTAATATACTATATATGAGTATGAGTATAAGAGACGTATAACCAGCCCCATTTCCTCTTGACTCTCGAACCCCGTACAGGCCTATGTTTACTTGCGCCGATTTTTGTTCTTCCCCAGCAACTGCACGGCTTCACCCGTGTTTGCTGGGTGCGAATGTCCATTGCGTTTCGAACTGTCCCCTATTTGGGGCTCGAGAGCGAGAGGCGAATAGTTATAATAGCCATTCCCGGGTTCGCCGAGCCTATGCTATACGCTCGGTGGGGTGTGGATGAGGGACGGGAGGGAGTTGGTTTTTGGGGGACAATTACGCCGACTTAAAACTAAGTACGACGCGGAATCCCCCTAGACCAGTCGATTAGTTTTACTCCAAACATTTGGGATTACTATTTGGAGTTGGGGAGTTGTTATTTCGCTGCAGGGGTGTAGTCGAGGTCTTTGTCTTGTTCGTTATTGTCATTGTCCGTGTCCTGGTCAGATAGCTCCTGCCCTTGGTAAAGTGTGTCAGTTGTTTTTAATAATTTTTGTCCCAAGCACGTTTTGTGGTAGAGTTCCGTCTTTGTTTATCAAATTCCAAGGCATTGGATTTATTCGCTAGTCCAACAAATCACAAGCGCGATCATTCTGTCGTCTAATGTTTACAAATCTCGAGTTTGGCTATTAGGCCCTTTTTTTTAATGTGTTAGAATTATGTGATCAATGTTAGTTTACTCTGTCAGTCCAGTGTTTATTTCGGTCTCGATTGGGACCACTTTACGCACTTGCCGTTGACAGACTTATTGCCCCACGCCGCGCGCCCTTCGCAGGTTTTAAGATATCCCAATAAACACTTTAACGATACCTACCACCATTAGCATTGCCCGTGTAAGAATTTTTAACACTTTTTAATACAATTTTGCAATGATAGTAATTAAAAACAAAACAATTGTTTAAAGAGTAAAATATGTTCTTAACATAATCATATTTTAAAGTTATTTTAACATTTTCAAGTAAAATAAATGTTATGTTTAATGAAATGAATACGGGCAATGTTAATGGAGACAAGTAACGGAAAATGCTTGCTGCAGCCCATGGGATCTGCCGTGTGACCCTAAATTTATTTATGATAAATTTTTGTCTTCTTGCTTGAATTGGTTTATTTGCTTACGCCTTTTACGCTGGTTGTTTACGTTTGTCTACTATGAGAAAATTAGGTTGTTTATTTAACAGTTACGGAAATGTTCTTATTATTTTTTAAATTTAATTTTTAAGACGAATAGATTTCTTAGATTTTTTTGCAACATTGTGAAATGCTTATATAAACATTTAACGATTATACGGTAAGACATGCAATTAGAAGAATTACTTAGCTTGATTATTAGGCTATAAACCTGATGCTTTGTCTTTCGCGGGGTGGCCTTCTCCTGTAGGTTTTTGCATAGAAAAAGGACCTTTTTGGAACGCTCCGATCCAGGTGCGCCGGTTGACTTATCGTTGCTGCCCAGCCTCAATTAGGCACTTATTCACTTGCTCACTTGTACGGCGTTATCTCACAATTTTCGCACTTCTTGCACTTGTTTGTTTATTTATGTATTTATTTATTATTCATTAACGATCACCGACATTTCCGGATACTTTGTTTCGTTTTTGGTATTTTACGTTTGTACCGTATACGCCACTTAGGAGTGATCTTGACGCATCCGACCTCTTCGAGCATCAAGACGGTACTGATGTATTAATATACTATATAGTAGTATTAATCTACTATATAGTAGTATTACTCATGGTTCATTAAACTGATAAAATTTTACCATGGCCATTTAAAAGTTGACAAAAAAAGACATAATAACCCAGTTATTGTTTGATACGAGGTCAACGTTTTCTTTTTGATTTAACTTGAAACAAGAAAGGCATTTTAAAATAACAATCCAGGAAGTCGAAATTTTAAATTTAGATCTCGTTCTTTGTTTAGGTACCTACATAATATTTAATATCTACAACAGCTTTTGATAGTAAGTAGTATTTCTATAAATAAATGATTTGGTATGATTACTGGAGAAAATATTACAACGTTTTAATAAAACACTTTTAAAGGGTCCTAGAATGTAACCTTGTAGGTTCAGTGGAAATAAAATACATTTTATTCCAAGAAATGCATCGTTAAGGATTATCCGACCGTGACCATTCCAAACAAAATAAATCGATATGTTAGTGACATAAATACCTCGCAAATTGTATGAAGATTTGATTGGAAAAACTACATTTTACTAAATCATCAATGACGATAAATACTGAACGCATTAAAGTAGGAAATAAATAAGTAATCTATACACGTAAAACAAAAAAAAATATAAGATATAAATTTCAATTTGTCCTTTTTGACCTCTTTGCACGAAAACGGAATATGAACCTGTTCAAGAGACAACAAATTAAAATTGCAAGAAGCTAAACCATGCATATGTAAAATATTGTACCACAATAAGGTATATTTTGAAGCAATTAAATTATATAAGTATTATTTTAAATTCAGTATTTCTTCCTATAGTCGTGAGATAATTATATTGTTTCCTTATTGATATGCCGACTCAATAAAACATGACCTGTTTAACAAAAATAATGAAAACCAACCTATACATATATTCAGAGGTACAGCTACAGATACAGCTGTATTTAAGATAGCAAAATCAAACTTCTACAACATGCCGCAACTTGTTTGAACAACAAAAAAGTACATTATACATACACATTTCACGTGGACAGAGCACTACACCGGCCTAAACTTGCAAACACTCTGGGTTTATGAAAAGACCTTTTGCATTTTGGTGTTCAGATTGGTCTGGCCTCTCGCCACGAAATCGATCCCATGGAGTTTTGCCTGTGTGTGCGTCACGTGACGATCACGCGCATTGCACGTGCTCGAAGGGCAGTCAGCTGATGCACCCGATGGCCGATGTTCTTTTGTTATGACATAACCGTGGTAGTGGGTCTCTCTGCAACTGATTGTATTCGGTAGAGTCTACTGATATGCTCTTTGTTTGTGGTGAAATGTTAAGACCAAGTTATGCTGGTTCATGAATCATGGCTTTAAATAGATACAATTATGGTTTTTATGGGACAAATAGGTTGTTGATATATAAAGATAAATAAACGATTACCACGATAACATTTATTATTATTATTGTTCAAGGCTTATATTAGTATTTTTTTTACCAAAATTCTTACTTTTTTGAACTTATATTTACACAGTCCCATCATTCAGGCAATTTTAAAAAAATTAACATATTTTCTGTAGTTTTATACAGGGTGTCCAGGATCTAAATCTAGAAACGTTTTTTTTGATGAAAAAAAGAAAAAACTCTTCCTCTTTAAAATGTTTTTAAATTTTTTTCAATATCTGAGTGAGAAACTTAAGTGTTTAGCGACAGTCGCCGGTCTCTTTATGTTACTAGTAAGAGCTCTTTCATTACTAAGTTACGACTAAAGTGGAAAACAATTATTGAGTTCCAAAAAGGTAATAAATATGTCACTAGCTATAAACCCTGCTACTATTTGGAACGTAGCTGCTACCTTACTAGAACGTTCCAATATCGTTGCTAGAGCGTTATAATTACTTTTATTTATTTGTTTTTACTTCTATATTAACTGTCTTTGTCAAACTTATATTAGATTATACTATCCCTCCTTTTTTAAATGGAACCACTACGGACTTGGCTTTTCAATGTCGTCGTTTATTAAATTCCAGAATATTGTTTAATTAGGCAGGTAAATTTATAAACCCTTTAAATTTTACTGTTGAACTTGTGAATTTAGGTTTTGTAAAATATATGCGCTTCATCAATATGTTTATAAATAAAAAAAATTAATATTTTTTTTATTTAATTATTAATACCGTCTATTACCAACAAAATTACTATTTATTAAAAAGTAAACAACCATTTACAAACAATTAAAATAATATATTATTTACATTAACACGTGGTACTGTACAGTAAAAAATGGCCGATAAGAAGCATTTTCCTTTGAAGTAGTTTTCGCTACTTTAAAGCTTTTTCCACCTTAATTTACTTTACGGTAGTTTTGGTTAGTACCATAAACGTTCCAAATACTAAAAAAATATTTTTTAAGTTATTAACTTTGTAGTTTTTAACTCATGATCCAGTTTCGAGATTTTAACTTGCAAAGGGACTACAAAGTAAAAATAATTATAATGTAATATTTAGGTAGCAACCGAAAGTAACTGCTACAAATTAAATTTACTTGAAAGTTTTTTTACTTATAACACCTTTTTTAAAGTTGCAGTCTTCTTGGGGGCAACCAAGTTTTACTTAAATGTTTATTACTATATATTATTTATAGTAATCATTTAAGGAAAGAATATACGAGTATTGCTATATATATATATATTTAAAAGTTAGAATTACTTTTAAGTAAAAATTAAAGTAGCTGTTTAGTATACTTAACTAATTTAAAGTTATCACCACTTTGGCAATGGTTTTTGAAACCAAAAATGCTGCTTGCGATGAATATGTAATATAACATCAAATAGGTAGGTATTTAAAAAACAGAGTCTTTCTACTTATGGTTAGAAAACCAAATGTTATGAAGCAATAATATATTATTTAGTTTATAAACTGCCATGATCCATATAATTTAATATATATCTATATATATCATAAATATTTGCGCATACTTATTCAAACTGATAAGCAAATTGATTGAGGAGTTCTTGATTGAAAGTGGTGCCAATATAACGTCTGTTACATTAAGTAGGCGTTAAAAAAATTATCATTGATGTTCTATTTTTTGCTAAGGTCAATGTTTTTTGTTTTTACTAAAAATAATAGTATATTTTGTATAGTTTTATAAACGCCATTTTAGTTACGAGTTTTGCTTATAAACGAGTTGCATCCCAATAAACAATTTGCACCACTTATGGTAACGATAAATTATATAGGTTAATAACCTAAGGTTATATAAGATTTGTCAAATTATATAAGAGTTTACTAGTTTTATAATGGTCATATATGACAATACATATAAGGTTACTATAAATTCCAATTTAACCTCACTTATTCCCAATTTTTAATAAAGCTAACTTCAGCCCGTGACTAAAGAGCTTAAAAGCCAAGCCACATGTTTCTAACTTCAGCCCATGACTAAAACGCCATAAAGCTCGTCAATGTACGAGTAGATAAAACAATTTAACAATTATTATAATAATAATAATAATTACTTTATTGACGATATTAATCCACCAAATGGTTTATGTTTATTAATAAAGTGTTGTTTTCTAAAAATACATTTTGGTTAGATCCATAATCTTTTACAGATCTAAAAATAAACTAAATCAATTAAATAAAAGACTTTATTCGATTCGACTTAAGAAAGCATGACAGAAAAAAACAAATTAATAAAGTCTATTAATAAAATAATTATTGTACTAAATTGTATTTTAATGATCGATTTTTTATGGTAGAGGAATGCAAAATAGTGTTAAGTTTAATAAACGGTATTTTAAACACGAATTTAAATTAGGCACAGCGAGTTGCAAACTATACTTTTTCTACGACAAATACCAGTACTTATTAAGTACTATAGTACTTATTATTACTTATCTAAACATGATTTAAGTTAAATATTTGTATAGAGAGACAAATATCAAATTTTTTTGTGTAAATTAAAATTAATTCCTTGAAAATGGACTAACAAACGTTTGAATCCGATATAGAAGCAGTTTTTCACAGTGAAAGTAAAAAAAAATGTTTTATGTCATATGCCCATATGGGCACTACCGAAATTTTAAATGTTTTATCCGTTAAATCTACTTTACTGCAAATATACAACTAGGAAACATTAACAAACAAAAGGAAAACTCTCTATGCAAATTTTAAAAACAACGTCCTTGTCTTTGACCTTAAATTTTGCAAAACCTTTGTTATATGCTGCAATACAAAGTAATTTTTATCCATTAGGTACCTACTCACAGATTATAATTTTCTAATCAAAGTAGCTACTGTATTGTTGTAACTTAATGTGGTTAATTTTTTAGTGGGCTTTGGTGGGAATTTATTTAAAATTGCAATCAATAACAAGTGACGATAACAATTGAATGTGTAATGTGCTTACAAGTCTTACGTACTTACATAGATATATAATCAATAATTATCAGGGACGATTTTTTTTTACTAGTATTGAAAACATATAATATTATTATACCTACATACCTACCTACTTTACCTGAACTAAAGTTTTGTTACAAAACTATGTCCTATTAGTTGGAGAACATTTCTGTGAGATGTCAATAGAATTTGTTTTTTTTAATTAGGCATACTAAACCCTATTATTTTCATTTTTATATTGCAATTTTAATAGCGTGATTAAAAATTAAGTACCACTTTATTTATAAAGGACAAATTCTGATTATAATTTGAATGATTTTTTTAAAAACATTTGATAAGGTTTTTGTTATTTTGTATTACCTACTCAATTTTTGATAATTTTTAAGATATTTTTAAATCAAATTTTTAAAAAATTTCATCATAGTTTTGTGCCATTTTTGAAAATTTTGCAATTTTTTTGTTTTTACGTAAATCTGAATTATTAAAAAAATTCAGCAACAAAAAAACAATAATAATAATTTCCTCAACTTTTTAAAATTTACATTTTCTTAAAGTATACCCCAACTATAAATTGTATACTCACGTTAAAAAATAGGTAGAGTTTACTTGATCCCCAAAAAAAATTATCACGCACACATGTTCATAAAAACTTTTACCCGAGCAGCGAATTTGTCACTTCATTGCACGATATGTTTGTATTAAAACAACGCGCGCGTTTGTAAACCGAGCGGATTTCAGACTTCACTTCCCTGTGAACAGCGACCAACAAAATGTTGTACAGTACACGGCACAATAATTGTTCTTGAGTTTCTTCTGAGTTTGCGATGAGATGCGCGTAGACTGGAATTAGTCCACGCGCATATTATCGCAGAGGAATTCAACAGCTTTACGATTAGTCTTGTTTATTTTTTTTTGTTAATTTTATTTTGTTCGAGTCTTTTTTCACAGATTTTTTGGACACATTGTATTTTTTCCTTCATTTGCGAACATTTTTGTGTGAATTCACCTTAATTATTGAAAGTTTTTAAAGCTCTCCTAATTTATTTCTTGCAGATTAAACATTGAATGTGCCAAATTACTTTTAATTTTGTTTCGGCAATTTTAATATTTAACACTTTAAATGTTGCTTTTATATGCCTTTATGCTTTAAAGCAACATTATTATAATGTGGTAAACTATTTTGCAAAATTTACTATTAGGTTTATTTTTATTATAGGATATTAATTTTTTATTTTGTAATTTTTTTTTAAATTAACACTTTTTTAGCATGTTAAATTAGCTTAAATTAGCTTAAATTAAAATTTAAAATTAGACGTCTACAAATTTTGTTTTGGTAGGTAAGTATACCTATAGGTAGGTATCTGAAGCAATTGCTTCGTTTATATATATATATATATATATATATATATATATATTAGGGTGTGCCAAAAAAACTCGATATTTTTTTTTTCTTGCTCTCCACCCAAAATATCGTAGAATATGTCCGAACAAATATTCTGTTAAAAGCGGAGCTCATAATTTCAATTTTAAGAGGTCCCTCATCGAATCTGAAGTTTTGCTGCTTAAATAACACAGAAAACTGACTTTTTTACCTTATTTATTCTTGCAACCTAGGAAGATTTTTTTTTTTCATAAAATCCATAACTAATTCTTACAAAGCATTAAATTTGGACAAAAAAATCTTATTAAGCCGAATTTCTATTTTCATTATTTATTTTTTACATAGCTTTAAATTTAAAGTTAATAATACAAAAATGATGACTTTATACGCCTGTAACTTTTAGAATATTGACGATATAAAAAATTCGCCTAAAACTTTTTTGTGGTCCATCAGACAAGCTAAAAAATTGCCATTTGACTTTTTCGTCTAACTTCAATAGTTTAGCTGAAAAAGGCAAAAAACGTAAAATTTTAAATTTAAAGCTCTGTAAAAAATCAAATAATGAAAATAGAAATTCGGCTTAATAAGATTTTTTCGTCCAAGTTTAATGCTTTGTAAGATTTGGTCATGGATTTTATGAAAAAAAAAATTCTTTCTAGGTTGCAAGAATAAATAAGGTAAAAAGGTCAGTTTTCTGTGCTATTTAAGCGGCAAAACTTCAGATTCGATGAGGGACCTCTTAAAATTGAAATTATGAGCTCCGCTTTTAACAGAATATTTGTTCGGACATATTCTACGATATTTTGGGTGGAGAGCAAGAAAAAAACTATTTCGAGTTTTTTTGGCACACCCTAATATATATATATATATATTAGGGTGGTCCTTAATAAGGTTATTTTCAAATTTCTTTGCTCCCAGGGGCTCAAATTCTTCTAAATTAATAAAAAAAAATTCCCTGAAAGTTTGAGCTCTTAATATTAACTCTAAGATAGTGCGCATTCCAATCTAAGTTTCCTATGGAAATAACATAGGAAAAATTACTTTTGTTGTTTATAATTTTATAACTTGGGAACGAATAAATTAAAAATTATAAATCACACATATTTTTATAGAGAATTTAACGCTCTACAAAAAAGGTTTCTTATAATTTTTCCATTAGTCTATTTGTTTAAAAGTTATTCAACGTCAAAGTTTAATTTTCATATTATTATTAATATTATCAAGGCTTTTTTATGAGGCGCCGTTTGTGTCAAAATTAAAAGTGCTAAATAAACTTATTTTGTTTTATAAATAATTAATTATATGCTTTACCAAATAATTTTTTTATAAAATTATTTTTTTATAAATTTTTTTTTTGTAAAAAATTTTATAAAATTTTTTATAAAATTTTTTATAAAATAATTTTTATATAAAATATTTTTTTTTAAATAATTTTTTTATAAAATAATTCTTTTTTATAAAATAATTTTCAATTCGAATCAAAAATTATTTAATAAAAGACGACGGGCGCATTTATAAATTAATTTTTACTGCAGCCATCTCTATTTGTTTGTAGACACTCGAGTAAACCCGAGTAAACCCGAACGCCCCCCCCCCAGATACAATTTTATGACGGACTGGGCTTTTGTTTGACGCAATTTGGGGAAACGATTGAAAATAATAATTTATTATTTTTATTCATGAATTCATTAATTTTTTTATCTACATTTATTTTGATTTTTAGTTTTTAACAAGAATTCTTTATGTGTAAACTTGTTAAAAACTAAAATAAATAAATAAAATAATTCTCTTGAAAACAAATTAAAATAAATAAATCAATTCTCTTAAAACAAAACTAAAAATCAAAAAAAATAATTTTATAAAAAAGAATTATTTTATAAAAAAATAATTCAAAAAAAAAATATTTTATAAAAAAATAATTTTATAAAAAAATAATTTTATAAAAAAATTATTTGGTAAAGCATATAATTAATTATTTATAAAACAAAATAAGTTTATTTAGCACTTTTAATTTTGACACAAACGGCGCCTCATAAAAAAGCCTTGATAATATTAATAATAATATGAAAATTAAACTTTGGCGTTGAATAACTTTTAAACCAATAGACTAATGGAAAAATTATAAGAGAACTTTTTTGTAGAGCGTTAAATTCTCTATAAAAATATGTATGATTTATAATTTTTAATTTATTCGTTCCCAAGTTATAAAATTATAAACAACAAAAGTAATTTTTCCTATGTTATTTCCATAGGAAACTTAGATTGGAATGCGCACTATCTTAGAGTTAATATTAAGAGCTCAAATTTTCAGGGAATTTTTTTTTATCAATTTGGAAGTATTTAAGCCCCTGGGAGCAAAGAAATTTGAAAATATCCTTATTAAGGACCACCCTAATATATATATATATATATATATATATATATATATATATATATATATATATAGATAATTTGTAGAGAATTTAATTTTATACAAAAGCTTTGAGAAGGTTTTTTTGGAAAAAAATTTTCAATAGCAAAAAATTCAATTGAAATAAAAAAAAAATTCCTGTGTTATTTAAATGGGAAATCGAATTTGTCGATTAGCTAGCCCGCTATTGCACTTAAAACTTTTTGCCCAGCGGCATAATTTTTTATTTCCTATAAACTACAAGGTGTTTTATTTTCAGGGGATATTTTTTTTTCACTGTCCTACCATATATATGTATATAAAAATATATTAGGAAAACAATACAAGAGGCTTAAAAATATTATATTTTATTAATTATATTAGATACCTAATTTACTTAAAAAGTGTACTTAGATAAACATGGTTTTCTGAAATAATTGTTGTGTGAAATTTGACATATTTTTAATAACTTTCAAACGAAGCAAGTTATGAAAAAAACTCAAGAGACAAACATTTAGTAAATAGACCAAGGAATCCAATTTAATTATCCTACAAAATTTGGCTAATTTATAGGTAGGTGTGTTTTGAAAATTTAGTTTTTTAGTTTTATTTTTGTTCAATACCTATTAGGTTGTATTGAACAAAAATAAAACTAAATTTTCAAAACACACCTATATTAATATATTCAAAATATATTTGTAGTTTATGATAATATTTAGTACTTAGTAGGTAATAAATTTTAAGATAAATAATCTATTTTTGATTTATCATGTACCTATAAAAAGGTACCTAGCTAATTATCCCAATATTTAGAATAACAATTTTATAACACCTATTCTGATCATTTACCTAACTGTGTATAAATGATTAGGCATTTGACATAATTTTTATTGAAAACAATAAAACCGTTAATAAAACACTAACAACTATAACTATAGGTATACCTAATAATTACTATCCCTGTTAAAAATCACCCATAGAGACCAATAGAAACCAATAAAAAATCAGAATGGAATGAATTGGTCTTTATTGGGCCTATTGGTTTCTCAACAGAATGAGCATTGGTTTCTATTGGTAATTTCCGTACTGGAAAATGCCAATAGATTACCTAATGGTCTGAATTGGTTTTTATAAGAAGTTACAAGTACAGGAAATTCCCAATTAAAATTCAATTGGTAAATACCACTTAAATGTTCAGCGCCTGCGCAATTCAATACAAATGACCACTTGTTTCTATTGGCAATTTTCTTACTGGAAAATACCAATAGATAAACTAATGGTCTGAATTGGTATTTTATCGGTGTGTAGGTACAAGGAACCCTATTGGTATATACCACTTTAATATTTATTTTCAAAATTCGCCAATAGGTAGGCAACCCATGCATACCTCTCGCCTCTGTAGCACAATACATAGGCCTATAAAGGTGGAATGCCTTGAGCTGCTAAGTAAGGATTCCTTACTAAAGCAAAATTACTGGCCATGGAAACGCCTGGCGTTTTGAAATTTTTAAAGGGGCACAGGTCGTCCTGTGGCCCACTCTGCGAAAAGTAAGCTGTGGGCCCCACTACTTACTTTTAGCAAAAGCTATTTATAAAATTTAAATTAAATGTTAAACAGCACTATTTTTGAGAAATTATTTAACCATCAAAACACGTAATTTTTTACCTTAAAGACGTCTAAAATGGATAGTGGGGACCAGTTCAAACCAATAGCGGTACCTCTGGAAAATCCAAATAGCTCTATTGGGAATTACCAATAAAATATATCTATAATATATCTATTGGGAATTGCCAATAAAATACGATTAGCCTCTATCGGTCTGTATTGGGATTTTCCAGCGGTGTCGCTATTGGTTTGAATTGGTAATTCATGGTACAGATACCACTATTGAGACCAATTCAAACCAATAGAGCTGCCGCTGGAAAATCCCAATAGCTTTTCTATTGGTCTTTATGGGTGATTTTTAACATTATAATAATTTCCTTCACAAAATTTTAAATAACCTTGTAATTATGATTGCCTACCTTCACTCAATTGTAAACATTACCAATTGAGGTTATGTTGCTGATGATGTGACCATTGTTCTGCTAAATACTAAAAGATAATTGCGATATTCTGATAAATGTGGTTAAGGAGATTGTCAATATGATGCAAATAATCTTGTTTATATCTGAAGGTAAGTTTTTATTATTATTATTGGTTTAGTATAAGAGAAGTCTTGTTTTGTCTGGTTTAGTTTGTTTTGTGTAGATAATATTTATTGAAAACAATAAAACAATAAAACCATTGACTTCTTCACTCAACGATAAAACCAATAAAAAACAAACTAAAAAATAATAATTATTAAGAACTTATTTACTAATTTCCTTCACAAAATTTCATCTATAGCCTTGTAATCATGGTTGCCTACCTTCACTCAATATTTGTAAACATTAACATTTGAGGTTATGTGACTATTGTTTAGTGTATAAATACTACAAGGTAATTGCGATTATATTCATAAAAGTGCTCATTATTTGCTGCCGTATACTTCAAGATAACCGCACGACTTATCTAATAAATGTGGGTAAGGAGATTGTCAATTAGATGCAAATAATCTATGGATTTGTTTATTTTTGAAGGTAAGCGTTTTTATTATTGGTTTAATATAAGAGAAGTATTGTTGTTTTGTCTGGTTTAATTTGATTTGTGTGGATAATAATAAAAATACATTTTTTTATCTAATTTTCTTTGTAATGTTATATCCGTAACTTTCAGATCATGTGTTTATTGTACCCAAATTTTTTTGGCGAAATTTGAGAATTTAATAGGTTCCTTGGTTTATTCACCAAGTTATTGTCTTTTAATTGTTTTTAAATTATAAATAAAATTCAATTTTGACCCTTACATAGGTATATCTGAAAAACTACTTTTTATTTTTACTATTATTTTGTATTGTTTTTTGTCAGTGTCACCATAAGGTGCACCATTATGGAACACACTGTATATTAAAACTTTATCACACCATAGAAGTGTATTTTGGATATGGGTTAAAATATTTGCTTGTTAAAATATTATATTTAAAATTTTTTAACACATTTTGAATAAATTTAAAAATAATGAAGTAAATAAAAATTTCTGTAATCTTTTAAATGAATAATTGTCCGAAAAATTATCTGGGGACCTTTTTGTGTAGATTTTTGTAAACTATAATTTATTATTTGCCGATTTTGTCTAAAAAGTTGATAATTTTTAAGATATTTGCATGTTTCTTAGTATACTACATGTATCAAAGTCTCTACAAAAAATACAGATGTTTTCTCTAGGTTCTATTGGTGGGCTGTTGGAAAATTGTAGTTTTGAATTTTATAAAAATTTTGTTGATTTTATATTGTTCTTTTTTATTCCTTAATCAAAGTTGTATTCATATTTTTTATCTTATCTTTTTTATTAAACAATGGAATGTGAATGACTTATTTTTCTCTATTTTTAACATTTTTGTATTTTAGTTTTTATCAATGTAAAATGACGGACAAAAAAAGCGAATATTTCCACCCCGATGGGGGTTATGGATGGGTTATAGTTACCGCTATAATTTTTATAAATGTAAGTCAAATTATTTTTCTTACTTAATCTACAAACAAAATATTTTAGGTATCACTGCTTATACTAGTCCCAAATTTCGGGTTAATCTTCGAAGATGAATTCAAAGAGATGGGCATCAACGCGGCCCAAAAGTCGTTTTTGCTCCACTTAAACAGCGCGATTTTTTGCGTTTTCGGACTTTTCGTTAGCCCGTTTCTTAAGAAGTTTAGTTTTAGACAGGTGGGCATAGTTGGCGCCACCTTGATGTGCTCTGGAATTTTTTTCGCCAGTTTTGCGCATTCTTATGAGGCTCTTATTTTGTGTATTTCAATATGCATGGGTAAGTCAATTTTAGATTTTTTATTCTATTTCTTAATTATTTTATATAAATAAATGTTTACATAATTAAGTAGTATTTTTAACTATAACTAATAACAATAACTATATTACAAAACAGAATGTTAAAAAATATTAAAGATAATGAAGCTTTAATCAAACAATTATAGAAATATTCCCATAATAACACCAAAACTGAACACAAAGTGCTTTAATCAATTAAAGTTGAGGAAGTCAAGAATTAACAAAATTAAATAATGTTTTTTCTTACAATCCTTAAGTAATTCGTTTTGTTAAGAAATAACCATTATTCTATAAATAAATCAATACATAAATCTATATTTAGCGAAATAATCAGAATTAAATAGGTATTATGTTTGTAAACTTTAGTTATACCAACAATGATTTTGAACAATTTAAAATATTTAAAACACTTATTTTAAAGCCTTTTTAAGCATAATTTATTTTCATGGTTTTTAGAACTTATTTTAAATGATTTACTAAAATTGCCATGTTTTATTTTCTTATTTAATATTTTCATCCATAATATGAATTCCTTATTAAACCAGTCACAACGAAAAGAGAGCACCTAATTAAATCAGCATAACTTTTTAACAATTTTGGTGAAATTCCGAATATATATGTATAAAATATGTAAGAATAAATATACACACAAAAAAAAAACAAAAATCACTTGATTTTAGAGAAAAATTAAAAATAAAAAAATCAGCAAAATGTAATTTGTTTATTACCAATATGCAAAAAAAAATTTGAAAAATAGAGAATTTTTAATAATAATATTTTATGGACATAATGGGGTAGTTAAATTTTTTCTGACCTATACTTTTTATGGTTTTATTCAAGGCGTTTTGTAATATTAAACATTTCTGTGAAATCAGAATTTCAATTGAGTTTACCGTTTTCGAGATATTTACAAAAAATATAAATTTTTATGACGTCACAAACCCCGTCATGTGACCAACATTCTAAGATTTCTATTGGTTGAAAATTACCCTGTTGTCAAGTTGTCTTGTTAATGATTTCATTCGGTTATGTCAGAAAATACCCGAAGAGGTTATGTACAAATACTGTCACTGTCAGTTGAGTGAAAGAAGAAGAAGAGAAGGTTAAAGAAAATTCTGAAATTAAAACTTTTATTGATAGGTTTACACATTGAAACACCGTGTGAAACCTAATAAAATGTATTAAATAGGTACCTAATAACTGTCTAAAGCAGAGTTTAATTTATTTCATAGAAAAAAGTGGCAAAATAAAGCTGAAAATGAATGAAATAAATTTACAAAAAAATAATAATATATCTAAAAGAATATAAAGAACTAGGCATTATACCAATGAAATGCATTTACGACAAAATATGATTATAATTATAGGTACATACTTTTTTTGTTTAAAAGCTCCAATGTTCAATGTAACCAACCATTCCACAAGATTTCTCTGCTTTGGAATCACTTATCTAATATCAATTACAAATAACATTGATTTTTAATAATCTAAATTTAAAAAAAACAACCCGAAAAAAAGAAACGTCAAAAAATCAATTCTTCTTCTCAACTAAAATATTATAACGTGGCGCCATCTATCGTAAACTAAACACACTGGCAACCATAGAAAAAGCTGGCAACGTTGTCAATAGCCTAGTGACGTAATTAGGAGATTTTGTTTTGTAAATATCTCGAAAACGGTAACCTCAATTGAAATTCCGATTTCACAGAAATGTTTAAAATTACAAAACGCCTTGAATAAAACCATAAAAAGTATAGGTCAAAAAAAATTTAACTACCCCATTATTAGTGTGTTTAAAAAAAAGCGCACTTTTCGATTTTCCATAAGAATAACATGGGAAAACATTTTTTCCTTCTGAATTTTGTAACTCACCAACCAAAGGTCATACAGGTTCTTTATGATTTTTTGCTAAACTAATTGGTTAAAAAGTTATTAAAGTTCAAAGATCAACGCACCATCAATCAGTTTTATTAAAAAACACAATGTTTTGTCACAAGATGGCGTTATTGCTGGTTTATAATGGTATTTACCTTATTCTCTACTCTGCAATCTGTATTCTATATTCTGTACAATTTATAGGTCCGGTTTATAATAAAGTTTAAAAATTGAAGATGCCGATAATTCAGCCTAGCTGCATTACCAACCGATATTTATATTTATAAGTATATAAAAACAAATTTATTTTTATTTACAATAAAAATGGTTAAAAACAATATTTAAACTATTATTTTTAGTTGAAAGGAAAGGTATTTGGTTTTTAAATTATTTAATTCTATTTTCAGAAATACTTTTCCACCAGAACAGAAATATGTAAAATTTACATCTTCAATGTTTGAACATTGTGTTACCAACTGAGTATAAAATCAAATAATTTTATCGGTAAATTTTTTTAAAAAAATTGCTCAACTTATTAAAAATTAATTAATAAAATTTTTTTGTGGCATATCCAGTTATCAAATACTAAAATTTCAGGCAGCAAAGTTAAATATGTTTTCATAATAAAAATGAAATTGAAAAATAGTATATTAAAGAACTAATGTCATTAGACGTCATTTTGTCGCACGCGGACAATTTATAAAACTAGCGACAAAGGGGCGAGTTTTGTAATGGACGAGTGCGACAAAAGGTATTTTATCTATTTTGAAAAATTCTTTAAAAAAAATAAATTTTATACCTTATATTTAATTTGGTCGAATTTTACTTTAGATAGTTGGTATCTCAGTCATTGGTCAATCGATTCGCCATGCCGTCCTTAATTTACTTATATTTATATTTACAATAAGCGGCTGTTAATGTTAAAGAAGAAAAAAAGGATTTTCTTTGGTGTTAAACAAAATTTATTGCCATAAAAGTCTCGTAAGTACTAGACAAATCATAAAAATATTATAACCAATATGCAAAATATTATGCTGTTTAAAGTATAGCCAACCTATAAAATCAAAATTTTGGGTGGGCTTATTACACCACCGAAAGCGGTGTTATAATGAAGTCATTATGAACTAAAAATAGAAAAAAATTATTATGATATTTATTTTATTGTAAACGGCCATTTCAAGCGCGCGAAACGCACGAATTACAAAACTGTTTTTATAAAAAAAATTGTAGATTATTTATTATATAATATTTTGGCATCAAAATTGGCAAAAATATTCTTCTTTTATTAGGTTATACATTAAATAAAAAAAAACTCAAGAAATATTTTATGAAAGTAGATATAATTTTAATAATTGAAAGGTGTGGACGGGACAAAAAAAAGATTTATCTTGTCCCGTCCATCCCTGTCAATTATTGAAATTATCTCTACTTTTATAAAATATTTCTTGCGATTTTTTTTATTTAATGTATACCCTTATAATAGAAGAATTTTTTTGACAATTTTGATGCAAAAATAATATATAATAAATTAGCTACAATTTTTTTTATAAAAACAGTTTTGTGATTTGTCCCGTCCATCCGCTTGAAATGGCCGTAAAGTGTTCTGTTTACATTTGAAAATAAAAAAAAATTGGTTAACGACTCAATTTTTTGATAGAACTGAGTAGTTCCGCTGCAATACCGAAAAATCTGCAAAATTTATGGTGAATTAAACTTAATAACTTTTTAACCAATTGGTTTAGCAAAAAATTATAGGACACCTTTTTTGTAGAGCTTTTAATTCTCTACAAAAATATCCGAACACATTTTTTGTGTGACCTTTGGTTGGTGAGTTACAAAAATTAGAAGAAACAAAAAAAATGTTCCCATGATGAAAAATCGAAAAGTGCGATGCGGAGCATTAGGATATTAAAATTAAGAGCTCATATTTTCACAGACTCATTTTTATACCTAAACCTGTTTGCAAGACAAAAAACAAATCGCTTTTTTTTTAAACACCCCAATATTTATACATTCTTTTAAGGTATTGGACAGGGTATTTTAATGCCAGCCACATACTTAGCCACAAATACTTACTTCAAAAAGAAACTTACAGTAGCTGTAAGCATTTCTGTCACGGGAGCCAGTATTGGCCAAATATTCATGCCGAAAATTATAGTTCTACTATTGGAGAATATCGGTAGAGCTTACACGATTCTAGTACTTTTCGGAATATCTTTGACATCATTGCCATGCTGTCTATTAATGAAACCACTGGAAAAACCAATTATAGAAAACATGCTGCCGAGAGCAGAAGGAAAGACCGACTCTGTATACAATGAGACTACGGTGAAAAAGCAGGAAGAAACTTTAGCTAAAAAACTAATGGATTTGTTTGATGTAGAGCTCCTTAAACAAAGGTCTTTCATGACTATTGTGGTTGTCTTGGGGTTATCGTTCGCAGCCGAACTGAATGTGGTGCTTATGATGCAATTTATTTTGGCCAAGTTGGCCATGTTAAACAAACAAGATATAGCTACGACCATTATGTTTCAATACATAGGTGATATACTTGGCAGATTAGCTATACCTCTGATATCACATTGCCTTAAGGTTCCTCCAAAAGTTTGTTACTCGTTGGCGTTGATATTCGCTTGTTTTGCTAGGACAGGTACAAAAAAATAATTTTGTTGTTGTTTTACTTATTGAATTTTTCAGGCTTGGCAGTATTATATACTTCATATTACTCGGTAATATTTTTCTGTTTTTGTTTTGGACTATCCAAAGGTGCTAGAGCTGTGTTTCAATCTGTGATTATACCAAAATTCGTAACCTTCAATAAATTACCAGTCGCAACTGGTATAAACATGTTGTTTACAGGCGTAGCCACACTAATATTAGGGCCTGCATTGGGTAATAATAATTATTATTATTATTTTGTTTAAATTATGTTATTCCAGGTGGAGTCCATGATTTATCAGGCTCCTATGTATATTCCCTTCACACCACTTCAATCATATCAATGATATGCATTTTAATATGGCTACTGGAATGGTTTTTCTTTACGTTAAGAGCAAAAAGGGAACAAAATATGGATGAAACTGTTGAAATATCCTAAGTACTAGTCACAATCACAAAGCCATATAAACTAATAAGACTGGTAACTCAAATATTATATAAAGTAAGTTTTAAGGCATCTTTAAATAGGTATTAAAGGAGTTTTTTTAAATATATTCGTAGTATTATTTATTTTTCCCATCATAGGTATTACCTTCCAGTGTTCTACTAATCTGTAGTGTAGTTTCGGGTTTTTACTACTAGATGGCGCTGCGTGCTTATAAGTCTTCGGGACCAATACCGTTGAGTGAAGGACCATAATCAATGCTAATACTATAAATATGGTTGGTTTAAATAGGGTAACAAAATAGATTTGTTATGCTTTGATAAATATTTTATTTATATATACTCAGTACAACTGCAATATGTTTCTAACAGCTATAATACAAATAATTAATAATAATAACAATTGAAATAAATACATGTATAATACACTAATATACAAGTTAAATATTAAATTTTCGTCCATCGAATGGGTAGAGTAAAAATTACAATATCACAAATAAAATGTTATAATAATTATTACAATTATCAAAGTCTAAGAAGCTTTTTCGTATAAAAAAAGTTTTTGAAAAAGTGAGAAGCAGTCTTTGAAACTTATTAAATAGATTGAAAAATGGTTGCAAAGATTGAGTTTATTCTTGATCCCGTTGAGGTTCGATATGCAGGATTTTATTTAGTGAGACCTTAACAATACATTTGACACATCAACGTATACCATATGATACTGATCGTTTACAGATTTATTTTTTCTTAAATCCACGTAATACATACAATAATATATGCTTTATATATTAAGGAAATCATTACTTTATATAAAGGTGCACAAATTATTTCCTAAAAGCCATTTGTGGTATTTTAGTAAATAACTTTATATGTATGTAGTTGATCAACTTTAAAAAAATATAAACATCAACTTCAACTACTGGTGTATATAAAATATCAGACTTGATGTTAGAATTTTTTTTAAAATCAACCAGGAAGCGTTTCTACTATATAAGAAGGTGTAAAAATAGTGAAGGTACTTTTATGTTATATATGGTACAGTTTAGGACAGATACAATGATTTTATTTATATAAGCTTTTTCGTTTAGATGCAATGTTTATTAGTTATAATATCTTAATTATAAAAAATACTTTGTTCGTTTTGGTTTATTGTGCAGAATCAGACAAAAATACCAACCAAATGTTTACAAAAGTGTTTATTTTTGTCTGAATGGAAAAATGATGTTAAATGGGTATAACTATAAAGATACTTTAATTAACCAGGTCCTCCTTTTAATTTTATGTTATATATATTAGGTACTCAAAAAAGTAAAGTTTATGGTGATGCATTGCTCGTTTTTGTTCTGGAAATAATGATGTTATAGATCACGCTCTTATCGACCAATCACCAAAAGTCATGGAAAAAATTGAGCAAGACCGGTAGGTCCTTTATCACCAAACAGTTTTAACCCTTTGCAGAACACTGTAGATGCCCATGATTTAAGAGATCAAAATTTCTTTATGTTCATCTCAAAAATTGAGAACTTTTGACGCGTCCACCATATAGCCCAAACTTTGCACTATTAGACTACAATTGGCTCTGGTCTCTGCGCCAAACTCTTTTAAAGGTGTAAAGTTGGCTTTAAAACAAGCCTGTACACTTGGTTAAGTTTTTTCCCAGAATCACAGAAGTTCTTCATCAATGGATTACTCGTTGTTTAGATTATGGATGTAAAACATTTAGAGTACCTAATAAAGTCTTTATTTCACGAAAATCATTTAGTTGTATTAATGGGAAAAAGACGGTCCAATTAATTAAAGTACCTTTGTAGAGACAAACAAATAGTGATAGAGACTTTGGACAATTTTTTTCTTATCTCGGCAGGCCTTCTTGTGCTTTAGAGCTACGTTCCAATTACAAATTCGTTCGAATCAGATATGTAATTGCTTGATTACCTAGAATAACAACAGCAAATAGATATCGAAAATACATTACCTAAAATTTCATTTAATAATGATTAATTATGATGTTTGTAGTTTTCAAACACATTGCGCAATAGCTATAAAAATCGCTTAGTCCTTAACTTAAATATGGCCTACTACACCCTGTGTGTGTTGATTTATTACCTAGATTAAAAAACGAGATGAAGTCGTAAAATAAGAACCAAAACTAATATTTGCCAATTAATCATAAAAAATAAAATGGTTAAAATAAACATCTAGAATTAATTTGGTACGATTAAAAAAATGTTGTGTTTGACTGATGACTAAGATGAAATATGTTAATGAAATGATTTGGTTCTTACCTTAATCCTTCACATAGCAAAAAACAGCCTTAACCTTTCCTGAGATCAAATAATAAAAAAATTTGCCTACACACGAAAGACCGAAAATATCAAAACTAAAAACATTTAAAAATGCGTTTCGGGTGGTTCGTCGATGTACTTGCACGTAAATGGATTCAAAAACCACGAACAGAAGGACTTTTCATGCTTGTGTTTGCATTTACCTCTTCTGTTCCTCAAGTGCGACAGCCGACTGGTGTCGGAATCGATGCTCGAGCTCTCGCTGTCCCTGACGACGCTGTCGTATCCGCTCTCAGCTCGCCTAGATATTGCCGCCGGACTGTGCTTCGAAGTCCTGGGCGTCGAATCGTGACCACTGTCGTAACCTTCAGATTTCTGAGTTAGCTTTATGGCCGATACCCCAGTCTCAAGGCTCAGAGCTGCCCGGTTCATCCTCTCCACCGATGATAGGCTTGGAGGTGGTAAAGGCTGAACCGTTATTGAATCCTCGAAAGCCTTAACTTTATCACCCTGTAATCTTGCAGTAAAGTCTTCGCGTAAATTCGGGTTTGAGGCACCATCGGGATGCCTTAGGTAAGCTATGTTATTATCCTTATTAAACTTGTGGCTGTATCTATGGCTATGGCTATGGAATCTACCCAAACCGTTCTCGTTTGGAAGTTTTTGTAGGTCGTACGTACTAGCCGACATGTATGTGTCTGTGTACCAGTTTTGTGCTGTAGCGGGTCTGTCTATGTTCCCTTTGCAATTCTCGCAAAACTTTTGCGCTACGTAGGCGGGCTCGCTGTAAATGCTGCTATTATCGTGGTTACCATCTCCATAAAGCATATCGTTTAGAGTCAGTGATTCGCACCGCGTTAAAACTCGTTGATTCTGCTTTTGAAGTTGATATGTCTCCGAGTTCGCCACGTTGGCTTTTGCTAAACGATTGGAGAATAACTCGTGTAATTTTGCTAGTTGGTCGAATTTTTTCTTGGTAGTTTCATCGAAGTTACCATTGCGCTGATATGGATTGTCTGGGTCTTCATAGTCATCGTTGTATAAGTTATAGCGATCATATCTATGCCTGGGCAATATTCTTTCTAAATCTGTATAAACTGACATGGAATCTGTAAAAGTGGAAACCACGGTTAGGTTTTCTTGGCTTAATATACGCAAAGGGTGATCTAGTATGTGTTCTTGGTCAACTTCCGGTAAAGGGTTTTCGGACAAACCCATACAAAAAGCGATGTCTTCTTCGGTAACTTGCAGACAGCAATCTTGTGTAGGTACGGGCTCGAGAGGTTCTTCAACTTCGATAATCTCAAGCACCTCCTCATCGCTACACAAGTGCTCTTCATAGGTATTGTTCTGGTAACTATTGTATTCAGCGTTTGATAGCATCCTTTCTTTCAATAATTGATCTAAACTCTCAAGAGATACTTCTCTACTGCTTAAAGGTTGGATTAACGGTAGGGCGGGAGGCATTTCCACTGGTTCTTCCTCATCTTCGATCTCGTCATCATTTTCCGGCTTTTCTTCCGGTGTCACGCATTCAGGAATTATATCTGCCTGATTGGAATTAAGCTTTAACCCAGTTCTAATCACCGATTCTTCCACCACCTCGTGTTTCTTACTGTCCAAGGGCTTAGCGATAACCTCTTCATCGCAATTTTTGAATTGCGTCAACTCCTTCGCAGCTTCCTTATGCGTTTTGGGATCAGATCTAGTATGCCCGTGTTTGTTAACCTTCGCTATCTGCGATGTTTGGTGCTCCACCCACTGCCTAATCATGTTCTTCTTGTGGCTATCCATATACCCGTACCCGGCGTTACTAGGCTCACTCTGCATGGGACCGTCTATCCAAGTCTCGCGTTTTTTGACGTGGCAAACTTCCTTCATCAAATGCCTCGCCTCGGCGACTTTCGATTTCGATATTCTCGGACCGTCAATCCATTGCTCATCGCTTGCTCCGTTTACCGGTTGTTTGTTTTTAATCGAAGGTATTCGGCTTGGCGATTGCTTCGGGGAGTTGGTATGTGCCGGGGATGTTTTGTTACTTTGGCACGTCTTTATTGGTCTGTGTATTGAAGGTTTCTCTTCTGATTTCTGTTTAGGTTTCTGTTCTGCACTGGAGCCTACAAAAAACAAGAATTAGATGTTTAAAGACTTAATAGCAATATACTACCTCTTAGTATTTTGCTCATAGACCCTCTATTGTCCCCGGAATTCAAACTCGGTATATATACAGGGGGATGTTCTCCATCGGTGGCATCATCAGTTGGTCCAACATAGATAACCGTATCGGCAGATAAGTCGCTACTTGAAGGGTCAGGTTCGCTGCTCGTTCCGGTGGTTCTTGTGGCTTCCTCGCCGGAACTTCCTCCCGACCCATTTCCGGTTCCAACATTGACAAATTTGATCCTTCGTCGGCGCATTCTATGTATCCTGGAGGCCAGTTGAACTGTTGTTAACGTGTCGGAGTAATTTTGCGCGTACGGCGACACATGGACAATCATTGCGGCATGGCATGTGAGTGAACTTAGGCAGTCTTTTAAAAGTTGTGTTAGTTTGTGTTCCTTATACGGTAAATGTTTTTGGCCGTTGAAAATTCCAAGCAGTATGTTCCCCACGCCAGATAAAGGTATCCCTCCACTAGCTTTACCTCGATCGGAGTTACCCAGGTCGATGAGGTGCAACCTACTTCTTCCACCAGCCACTGTAACAACAGAAAATCCTTATTAACATGTTGAGTTTATTTGTGCAGGTAAACAGTAAACTTGGATGAACGATCCGATAAAGATAAAGTTGTTTGGCCCCGAGAGCGGCTGAAACAATTTTTCAGGCCAAAAATTCAGATAACGCGGCTAAAGTTTAAGGCACGGCCGCGGATATCTGAAAGCTTTAAGGTGGGGAACGGCGCGCGATACTTAAAGGAGACAGCGGAAGTGATAAGAAATCCAATTATCATAAATTCAAGGACGGTATAATGATCGTTCCCAATTATACAAGATTTTTTAAATTTGCCATATTTCAGCTAATCTATTAGCTTGGCATTCTTAAAAGTTTCAACTGAGAGAAATGTTTACAGAGATAAAAATATGATGTTATTTTTTAATTCCAATAAAAATGAATTTCAAAAATGCTGAAATAAAGCTTTACCATTGCAACATTTAAAAGGTATTTTTAATTTAGATTAAATTAAAATAAAACTGGCCTTTGTACTTCAATTATTCAGTGTTTTATATTTTAGTTTTTAAATGCAATTGGTAAAATTGCAATTCTGCAAATTGATTTTAGAACGTTTTACATTAGAACCTTTGTATACAGTTATGTGTTATACGTTAAACTTTCTTATTATTAATTTTACGAAGAAAAGTTATTCTTTATAAAAAGTTCTGTACCTTCTAAAATCTAAAATAAAATCATCAGATATCAAATTTTTTCAGTCATATACGAGTTTTGACAATAAAATTGAATTTGGACAAGAGTAAAGTTTTATAAAAACATGCAAAAAAGTATAGTAATTGGACATTTTATATCGTAATTGGACACATGGACCTAGCTATTGGACATAAAAATTTTATATAAACATAACAACTTTACATCAAATAACATAAATTGTTAAATATTTTTTAAAGCTAAATTGCTGTCTTAGGTAATTTTTTTATTTCGTTTTTGTAAATATCATATAATTCATATATTTCTTTCTCGGATTCCTCATCCCGTTTCTGGATTCTGAACTACTAATTCCTTGGTCTGACTTCTGAAATAGCTTGTTGCAAATATCATTAAGTGTGGTATCTCTTGTTTGTGAAGCAATTATAATGTTTAGGCCGGAACAGGATGGATCTAATATTTTTTCGGGTGGTATGTTAAAAAGTATTTTCCGAATTTATTAATTTTGTTGCCATTAGTTTTTTATGTTCTCTATCATGCACTGTATTTAAATCACTGTTATTTTGCAAGATGTCTTATGACGAAAAAATCACTATACTTATTACTTACTCTCTAAAAATGAATTACTCAAAAATTTCATAGCGAAAAAGCAGCCACTAATAATTATCGTCAACAGCAATTTGTATCCAGGACTTTTAGCAGTAAATTCCTATGAAATATTATTCGCTGAATCGGAAAATGTCGTCAAAAGTTATGAAAGTAGAACAGTTTTTGAAATATAATCAATTTTACATATAATCTGGAATTGACTATATCTCAAAAACTGCCTAACTTTTATAGTTTTTGACGGTCTTTTCGGATTCAGGGGACAATTTTACATAAGAATTGGCTAGTAAATGTCGGGGATACAAATAGAGTATGATATTGGACGTATGTCCAATAATAGCAGTTTCCATTTTTTACCAGTAGTTGGACACTGGCCATTTTACTGTTTTGTTTTAAGAATTAAAATTAAAACGCATTAAAGTGACAATGTTTACCATGAGGAACACATTTATACCACACACTGATCTGTACAATTTTTAGAAATATTTTTATTGTAATTTAAGCACAGCCCTGCTCTTAACAAAAAAACAAAAATCTTACCACAAAAGTAACGTGCGAACTTTTTTGTCCTATATGTCCAAAATAAAGTAGTTGTATATTATTACCGACTGAAATATTTATAATTTTATACAGCGTCATCTAATGATTTGACTTTAAGGTAACTATTTATAAAACTCTTGTTTTTATAGTATTAAAGTTAATTGTCCAATAACTATAAAGTGTCCGATAACTGTCTATTTTACTTTTTACTTTTACAAATTTTTACCGATACCGAATACACTAGTTTACAAATTTTTAGTTCATCGCGTGAACCTAAAAAAAGTTTTTTTATGCTAACTTTGGGCATCTGAAAATAAGAAAAGTAACTTTTTTTTTTCAAAGAAGCGTTATCTAGATCGAATCTGACTACGTGTTTTAGGGATCTTTTCTCAATTACTCGCAGAAATCTCGAGAAAGGCTCATCAAACTAACATTAATTGTATATCGTTCGAAAGGTATGTTATTCTTCTTTCCGACGATATACTGTTTGTACCAATCGGATTAAAATGTTTCGAGTTGCAAGTAATAAAAGTCGAAAAAATGTGGATTTTCTTACGTTTTTTAAAAATCACTTATATTTAGTTGTTTCAGGAAGATAATAAAAAAATATTTTACATCCTTTTAAGATCGCAAGTAACAAATAATTCTATAACAAAAATATAAAGCGTAAGTTTCCTTAAATCGGACAAAAAATTTCAAAGTTATGGTATAATAAGTGAAAGCACACAATTTTAGATTTTTATATATTTATAAATATATATATATATATTTTTGGTGGAAAATATTTTTTTACTTAAACTTCTTCGTTTATGCTGAGTTAAATCTTTGCGAATTTGCATTCAGCAGTAGTCACCCATCATTCCTTGATCCCAAAGGCCCTCATACCGCTGTTCGATTATTGCGATGTCCTGGTGAAATCTCTCCTTGTTCATCGCTCTCAGCTCCCAAATTTGGAGGAAAAGAGTCCAAATGACTGTGAAGAAAGTGCATTTTTAATGACATGCGCGCACTTGTAATATATTTATATATATACTGTATATACAAACGTTTGTGTTAAAAATTGAATTGGTCTATCTTCACTTAATATACCATAACTTCGACATTTTTTGTCCGATTTAAGCAAATTAAGGCTTTATATGAGTACATTAGATGCAAAACTCTGTATTTGCAGGATAAGTGATTTTAAGAAAAACACGAAAAACCGCTCATAAGGTCATATTTGAAAAAAAAAATACAAAAATCGTATAGACGTGTTTTTGCATCATTTCTTATTCAAAAAAGTAAAAAAAAGTCCTTTAAAATTAAGTACTTTAGTAAATAATTGATATCAAAAGATTTAAAAACATAGTTTTGCATCTTCCTCGTTCAAAGACCAAGTTTTGCAAGTGAAAAGTGCAAATACCAAAAAAATAACAATTAATCAGGTGATTGTTATGCCGTCAGTTAATTCGTATACTAGCGACGTGATTGGTGATTGGTCAAATACCGAGTTTTGCATCCGACAAATACCCAGTTTTGCAGCTGCGGTAAGTTTATAAATGTATTTTATTCTACAAATATTAACTTATGCATCTGGTTTACTTAGTTATGCTGTGGGCAGTGCAGTTATGAACATAAATAAGATAAAATATATATTTTTTAAAAATGTGCAAAAACCGAGTTTTGCATCTAATGTAAGTAAACATAGGCCTGTACGGGGTTCGAGAGTCAAGAGGAAATGGGGCTGGTTATACGTCTCTTATACTCATACTCATACAACATATTATGTTGTATGAGTATGAGTATAAGAGACGTATAACCAGCCCCATTTCCTCTTGACTCTCGAACCCCGTACAGGCCTATGTTTACTTACGCCGATTTTTGTTCTTCCCCAGCAACTGCACGGCTTCACCCGTGTTTGCTGGGTGCGAATGTCCATTGCGTTCCGTACTGTCCCCTATTTGGGGCTCGAGAGCGAGAGGCGAATAGTTATAATAGCCTTTCCCGGGTTCGCCGAGCCTATGCTATACGCTCAGTGGGGTATGGAGGAGGGACGGGAGGGTGTTGGTTTTTGGGGGACAATTACGCCGACTTAAAACTAAGTACGACGCGGAATCCCCCTAGACCAGTCGATTAGTATTACTCCAAACATTTGGGATTACTATTTGGAGTTGGGGAGTTGTTATTTCGCTGCAGGGGTGTAGTTTCCTAGTCGAGGTCTTTGTCTTGTTCGTTATTGTCATTGTCCGTGTCCTGGTCAGATAGTTCCTGCCCTTGGTAAAGTGTCAGTTGTTTTTAATAATTTTTGTCCCAAGCACGTTTTGTGGTAGAGTTCCGTCTTTCTTTATCAAATCCCAAAGCATTGCATTTATTCACTAGTCAAACAAATCACAAGCGCGATTATTCTGTTGTCTAATGTTTACAAATCTCGAGTTTGGCTATTAGGCCCTTTTTTTTAATGTGTTAGAATTATGTGATCAATGTTCGTTTACTCTGTGAGTCCAGTGTTTATTTTCGGTCTCGATTGGGACCGCCTTACGCATTTGCTGTTGACAGACTTATTGCCCCACGCCGCGTGCCCTTCATAGGTTTTAAAGATATCCCAATAAACGATACCTATCACCATTAACATTGCCCGTGTAAGAATTTTTAATACTTTTTAATACAATTTTGCAATGATAGTAATTAAAAACAAAACAATTGTTTAAAGAGTAAAATATGTTCTTAACATAATCATATTTTAAAGTTATTTTAACATTTTCAAGTAAAATAAATGTTATGTTTAATAAAATGAATACGGGCAATGTTAATGGTGACAAATAACGGAAAATGCTTGCTGGGATCTGCGTTTTTTTATTGCAGATTTGTATCAGGTCATGCATACTCTTAAAGTAAAACTTATCAGCTTTTTTTTTGCGGATGGCCACCTCCCCTCTTCTCCGACCTCCCCCGTCCGTCCAGTGAAAAGCCTCCAATGACAGGTGGCATCCAAATCATTCATATCACTCAACACTCCACTCCTCAATGACCGTTACACCATTTTAGTTTGCACTCTATGAAAATGTTTGTTTCACTTATTAGTTTGCACCTTTTTTTTAAATTATTGTTGGTTTCATCTTTAAACTTTTACGTTTCAAGAGCTTTCCCGCACGCGACGTGTCTTCTCGAGCGCTGGAACCGAACTGCAAATTAAGGCTTTATATGTTTTTAATAAAATTGTCTGTTAACTGCGATCCTAAAACTATGTTAAAAAAAATTGTTTGTATACTTAAGAAACAACTGAATATAAGTGATTTTTAAAAAAAGTTGAAAAAAGCACTTTTTATATACTTTTATCACCTGCAACCCAATAAATTTTAATTTTATTGATACCAACAGTATATCGTCGGAAAGAAGAAGAGTATACCTATCGAACGAAATACAATTCATGTTAGTTTGATCAACCGCTCACGTTATTTCTATCAGTAACTAAAAGCAGATCCAAAAAACACGTTTTTTGCTTGGATCTAGACAACGCTTCTTTGAAAAAAAAATAAGTGATTTTTTCTTTTTCAGCGACCCAAAATTGCTCTAAAAAAACTGTTCTTATCTGGTTCAATTTTTGTGTAAACTAGTGATATTTATCTTTTTTATTTATTACAAACATGATAACGTTTACTCTCCGTTTAGAAAGTAATAAGCAAATTCTGATGTTTTGATTTCTTGCTATCAACAAATAATTTGTTTGTCAGTGCATACTGGATTACATGTAACTACATTTACATTTTTGGAGCAAACATGCAAAAGCCGATAAATACATTTTATCTTATTCTAGGATATTGGCCAAAAATGTGTACAGCAGAGTCCCACACATATTTAATGATTTTATTTTAGATTTTAAGGCAGAGCCTTTTAAAAAGAATAACTTTTTTTCTTTAAATTAATAATAAAAAAGTTTCGCATATGTTGCTAACTTAAGTAGACACTCTGTATATCTAAACAATAATTGAAAATTAAAACAACACTGGTCTTTGTTTTGGCAAATCGCATTCACTCGACCAATTAGACTCAAATTCTAATTGCGTAATTGTTTTATTATCAAATAACACCGTTGTAATGCAATCTACCTACTAAGTGGTATTGAGTGTTCACGTCCAAGTTAGCAACGGAACCGGAAAGGTGGCGGTAAATAAATTAGAGCTCTCTCCTTTGGTCCCTACCCAGAATATTCTCTCTAAGACCTTTGTGGATTTTGCGACCCCACGTGGGAGATGGATGTTTGTCCCCGAAACTCACTTATACCGATGCACAAACAAACCTCGAGGATGGATACATTTTTTCTTTCAATTATTATTTCAGGACAGGAAGGGACAGCCTGGGCGGTCGTAGTATATTGTGGATAACGGGTAGTGCATTATTTTTGGTTTGCAAAAAGGTTTTCAGTGGCGTAGCTTCAAGACCTTCATGAGTTGTATTTTATGGATTTCACAAAGCTGAAAGTTATTACAAAAAAATATAATCATCCGTGCACTAACTAAACCTGTGTTAAGTTTTAAACGGCTTTAAATTTTGAATAAGTAATTAAGGTTATGTTTTCAAGTTTTTTAATAAATAATTCAATTATTATATAATTTCTTTTTCAAGATAGATAGATATTACAGCTCAGGTTCCAGATTTTTAACCGCAATTAATTATTTTTTACAATGTTTTAAAAGTCTAAAACCTATCCTCCGTGACTGTTACTCTTTCTAGGTTAACCTATACGTTTTCAAATATCTGAGGTAGTAAAAGCATACTAAAAATATGAGTTCACTAAGTAAATTAAACACATCCAAAGCAATCGAATCAAATATAAAATATTATTAAAAATTAAAAGAAATAATTTTTATAACCATTTATGTAGTTGTTACAAAAATTGATTCTATTCTCCGTGAATATGTTTTTGCTTTAAATTTTATGCAACGGATGGCGCTTTAATCATTTTAAATAAGCAAAAACCTCTGTTTACGGCATTATAGATGCATGTGTTGCTGTTTTATAATTTAAAAGTTTAAGTTCATTAATTTGCTATTTAAAAACCTATCTACCGTGTAATATCTCAGTAAGTAGATTTTTTTTATAAATATTTTATGGTGATCCCCTATTATGTCGCCCCCCTTTAACTTTTTTATTTTAAGTGTCCCAAAAAATTTAAAAGTGTGGTTATGTAGGAACTAAAAAATACTTTTTTTCTACGTTTAAAGAAAATTGGAAAATTGATCAATATACAGGGAAAAACAAAAAGTTTATTTTTTTAAAATGGATCACCCTATATATGAATTTATTTTTCGATTTCTTGTAAAATTCTGAGCATAATTCATATAACATACCATATACCTAAATTCAACCGTTTCTGAAATATTTAAATTATTTTTAAGATAAGTTGAAATAGTTTGTCTTTCTCTGTCTGAGTAGGCCATTTTTACTTATTTAACAAGACATATTGACCTAATGTCACTATAGTAATTTATTTTCAATAAAAATTTTGGTATACTGAGGCTTCTTGATTTCTAACAGTTTAAAAAACCATTTAATGATAACATTTCGAATGGCAATATTTCAGAAACAGTTGAATTTAGGATATGGTTTGTTATATGAATTATGCTCAGAATTTTACAAGGAATCGAAAAATAAATTCATATATAGGGTGATCCATTGAAAAAAAATAAACTTTTTGTTTTTCCCTGTATATTGATCAATTTTCCAATTTTCTTTAAACGTAGAAAAACAGTATTTTAGTTCCTACATAACCACACTTTTAAATTTTTTGGGACACTTAAAATAAAAAAGTTAAAGGGGGGCGACATTATAGGGGATCACCCTGTACAATTGTATTTTTTAAAAATATTAAGGTGTCAAAAGAGACAATAACTTATTTAAAATATATAAAAGGAGGTTTAAAAAAAATACGAAATCCTAAAAATTAAAAAATTAAAATCCCAAAAACCCCATTCCAGACTAACAGTGAAACAACCAAAAATAAAAAATAATCATTTTCACTTTTCACTATTCACCCCTATATGTCACCCCTAAATGTCAGAGGAAAAAGAGGATTTATTGGGTTTAAAGATCTATAGTTTACCAATATCATCATGTCATTGGTCAATTTTTCAAGAAACTAATATTTGCCCAAATAAATATCACAAATTTGTCATTGTTTTTCCATGACCAAACATTCCCAAAATTAAACCAACAGTAACCTACCCAACTTAATCCAAATTGCTTTGGCACATTATTTGGCACAATTTGACCATTTATTGTTGGCCATCGCGATTGCACAAAAATCATAGGAAGTCCTATATTGTACATTTATTGGCAAAACTTCTCTGGGCAATACTCACGTTTTAGTAAGGTTAAGTAATTTTAGGAGTAAGAAAATTTGTTACTGTCATATGGATAATTGAAGGAAAATCTTGATAAAATCGTTCTTAAACAAAGACAGTTATTTCAGAGCTTAACTAGGCATTCTATTGGCTTTAAACTCAACAGTTTTCCCTTGATTCCTGCATCACAAAAGACTATTTGTTTACAAGAAACCCTCATGCAATTTTTCTGTTTACCCACCTCCTCCTTTTCCAGCCACGCTGTACTGGTACACGTGGAGCGTGAACAGCAGATGCGAGTCCCTGGCGTCTTCCCTTTGAGCGGCGGACGTATGCGCGGCCCCCGCTCCGGTCCTGCATTCCACCGCCGCGTCCAAGTAGTGGGCGGCCTTCTCGGCCGTGGGCACCCGCAGCTCGCAGTGCGGCGGGTGGTTGCCGAAGAGGGGGTCGTCCCTCAGGTACACCCCTGGAGATTGTTCAGAGTCTGCAAGAATAAGTGGGTTACAGGAAGTGCGACTTTGGTATTTATTAGGTACAACAAAGGAAAATATTTTACCGAAAGTTTTCTAAAGGTAATATGCAGTTTGGTAAGCATTTTCTTAATTGATTATTTTGTTAATGTTTAACAAATTATTTCGTTAAAAAGTACACGTGACTTGGCAGTAAAAGACTTCAGCGTCTGCAACATGTTCGTAACAACTGTCCAGATTTCCAGATTGTATATAATATATTACCAGAAATCTCCAAATTTTAGTGGATAAACTTATACTTTGAACGTAAATCGTAGTGCGATTTATAGATTCCCGTACGGGACAACGGGACAACAGGTGTTCATCTTCTACGGAAGGAAGGAAGGAAGGAAGGAAGGAAGGAAGGAAGGAAGGAAGGAAGGAAGGAAGGAAGGAAGGAAATCTATACATCAGGCTTAAAGTGTATAGTCAAAATCTCTGCCACGTTGTAGAAACGGTTCTATTACATGGAAGTGACTTAAATGAGGAACACTTTTTTTTAGTGCCAGTTACGTTCCAAAAACGTTCTTGGATTATATATAGACACGTTTATACCACGTTGTGCTTACGTTACTATAACGGGGAGGTATAGTGGCCAAAACTTAAGCGAAACTTTACTACTCTTTACTTTCTATCCTCGTCTCCTTCCAGCATATTATTTATCTTATTATCTTTGCTTTCTCTAAAACTGGACTTACACTTAATACTAAAATTATTATAATGTAATAATTAGGGTGCTTTATTTTAAAGTGACATTTTTTTTCAAAGTCCCACCTAAAAATTTTGTAACCGGTCAGAAAACAAAAATGTTGAAAGAACCGAAATTCGAAATAAATATTCTTACTGTACGAGCAGAAGGAGAAACGAAAAAAATTGTTTATTAATGGTTTTTAAGGGAAATATTTAAAAATTGAATAGCAGCGGCTTAAAATAAAGATTAAGAGCATTGTAATAGCTGAAAATTTTTGTTTTCTGACCGGTTACAAGATTTTCAGGTGGGACTTTTGAAAAAAAAATGTCGCTCTAAAATGAAGCACCCTAGTAAAAATACAACTTAAAAATAATAACTAGAATTAAAATAATCCAAAAACACGAACAAAATTTTACTGTCAAACATGCTCAAAATATGTGGTAATAAAAAAAATATAAAAATTTGTAAATTAGCGGATCTAAAAATTATTTTTCTAGAGGCCTCAAATAATTTCTTTAATATTTCTGGTCACCTGAAACCAATAATTATTTATTATCCTGTTAAATTTGGTGCGGTAGGCACTAACCAGAAGTATTTGTTTAATACTACACATGTCTACTTTTAAAGAAGGAAACTTTAAAGTGATAATCCAATGCGTGGAAATCACTTAAGCATGTAGCAAGAACGTGGCAATGACCACCGCAATTATATAATCAAGTTCTGCGACATTCAAGGTTTGGAAAAAGTTGCGAAAACGTTGCCAAAACTGGTATACCCACTTTACAACTACTACCACTTCAAAGTACTTCATACTTAGGTGATGTGGTTTGGTTGCCGTTACTATTTATAATCCACTTTAAAGTTTGGACAACTCTAAGGTGGTGTAAAAAGTGTTCATAACATTTCACCAAACGTTATAAAACTATGAAGTACCTATATTCTGCTGGTGCAAATCACATGATTACAACTATGCTAACAAAATATGAAGATATTTTAACTGTATCGTGATAGATTTAGTTACTGCCACTCATTTGAGGTTGCGATATCGGTTTTCGTCACTATAATGCTATAACGGCTTTTATTATTGCAATAACATGTTATTTGGATTCCTTATACCTATTTAACAAGTGTGCGAAGTGCGAAGTATCCAATAAAAGATGCCATCACTGGTTGTCAAACTGAAATTAGGGGATACAGTGAAGTGGGTTAAAGTTACGAAATACATTCTTAAGTATTGTAGTAGTACTACTGAAAATTATATTGTACCAAATTTCTTTATAATTTGATGATTTTAGAATGGTGTGTTATTTAATTGTGTGTATGTTATTTTTGTGTTCATTTATGTAGGTTGTTAAATATTTTGTTTAGAAAATTGATTAATAAAGCAACATTTCTTATTAAAATTCTTTTTATTTCAGTTTCCAATTTCCAACAAATACTTTTTTTAAACAAGGTTTGTAAAAATAAGGTCCTTTTTTAAATTTAGAAGAATTATGGTTAAATTATTGACATGGAATTTTGTTATTAAATCTAAAAAATGTTTACAGATTACAGTTTGTTGTAAACTTAACAAAAAATTATGTGGACCTGGATTAACATAAAATCTGGTTAATATTAGATTAAAATTAACAAATTTTTTTTATTGTGTATCTAACACTAAACTTGTAAATTTTAAAGATCATTTTTTGTTTTTCTGTTTTTACAGTAAAAGTTTTTAACGTAATTCACAAATGATATTTGTTCCCTCGTTTGATTTTACGGCGCAAAATTCTGTTGGCAAGTCAGTTTCGTAATACCGTAATCTATCCGAGCTTTAAACTAACGTTAAATTTCTATTAAGTTTATGATTTTCGTGTAAGTACTGTACAGCTGGAATTTATGAGGGATTAGTTTTAATTAATTTATGTAATTATTATTGCTACACCGCCTCCCATTTATTACTTTACCCCCTCCAAAGCAAACGAATTAAATACTCCCCGTATGTGGAAGGGTGTCGTTAAGTTTATGACGTTTTTTAATTTAATTACGGAGATTTTTAATTTAATATGTTTCAGTCACTGCACCTTTATTATTCTAATAAAATTTTCTTAATTAAGGGGTATTATGATGCTAATGATCATTACTCATTAATTATTTAAAGAGCTCATCTAAAAACAAATTTTTCCTTATTTCTTTTTATCTATTTTTGCAAAATTTAGGGTGTCCTAAAACTGCCCACATATAAAATAGCAATGAAGATGCCAAATTTAAAAATAAAAATGAAATGAGAGCAATAATATTTTACATATTATAATATCAACAATGCATCCTAGCAATTAAAAGATTTCTCTATGGCCATAATGTTGATTTCTATGCAAAATTTGTTCAACAAACATTATTAATTATTTAGGCAATATATTGTTAACATACCAACCAATGATGTAACAGTGTACCAACCTTAAATAAATTACTGTGTTTACTGTGCATTAATATTTCAAAGTTTATTCGCCAAATTGCTTCGAGCAATACGGTTATTGATATAAAATGTTTGAAAGGTTTTAGTCCAAAGATACACATTTAATATTTGAGGTATTGAATATCTGTGGACAAATTAAAAGTAATTTAATTAAAATTGATTTTGGCTTGTCCCAGTATTTAACCATTGAAATGTTATCGTTCCAAAGATTTACTCAACCTGCTATATTTTGAATTTTTAGTGACCCAACGCAAAAGTAAAAGCGGAAAGTGCCAATTTCGCGTGGATATGGATTATTCCCACACGGCTGTCGGATCCGTGTCTGTTTCTTTTATTCGAAGGCAGCCATGGCCGTTACCTGCGACGCCTACTATGATGGATTGAGCGGCAGTGCGCGCACGACGCCTCATACATCATTTTACCTTTTGTTTATGTTTAATCTTTTCGCAGATATGCTTTTACAAATTTTCGACACAGTGAATTTGTTACGGATGTTTGTTGAGCATACAAAAATTTAATTTTTTTGTCTTTGATATTCATAAAAACTTTATTTATGTAAAAATAATAATAAATCTATACTCTCTAAAAATGAATTAGTCAAAAATGACTAATTTAATAGTTTTTAGTGGCTGCTTTTTCACTTGTACCATGGTTAACCATGGAATACCATGGTATCCCAAAATTTAACAGCCAATTTTTATGTAAAATTGTCCCCTTAATCCGAAAATACCGTCAAAAATTATGAAGGTGGAGCAGTTTTTGAGATATAGTCAATTCCATATTAAATGAAAAATTTACAAAACCTTAAAAACTGTTTTACTTTTTCAACTTTTGACGACATTTTTGGATTCAGGGGACAATTTTACATAAGAATTGGCTATTAAATTTTGGGATAGCATGGTATCCCAGGTTAACCTTGGTTCAAGTGAAAAAGCAGCCACCAATAAGTATTAAATTAGTCATTTTTGATTAATTCATTTTTAGAGAGTAGGTATTTTACTTTATTATATTTAACTTTACCGCGTTCTCCTGTGTAAACCGTTCTCGTTTTGTAGCGACATCTACACCATTCTTAAATGGAATGGACTGGTATGTTGGTCGTGTCTCATATTTATTTAGAGTATAATATAGCATAAAAAGTATTAAATGGAGACTATAAAGTGAACCCATAATTTCGTAAAGTGCAAAAAGAAACATGCAAGCCTATAAAACAACGCAGTAGTAAAGCAACCCTTTTTGAAAAACATTCATTAATTATAAAAACTTATTTTATTTGCTTTAAACGTACTTGTAAAATAATTTTAATTAATGATTCCTTGTTGGCAATGAACAACTCTGATTAAAAAAAGTCGCTGTGCCTTTGCATGTGAAGCTATGCGAAAATGAATTCAACTGTAAACAGGCAGATTGTTATCAGGCACTATATTAAATTACTGACGGATATGCTGCATAGTTTTTAGAAGTTGGTTGCAGTACGTTTTGCGCTGAAATTAATGCCACTGTCAACAAATATCAGCGAGAACATGGAAAGGAACAACAAAGAAATATTTGACCCGGTGAAAAAATAAACACAAGCGCAATTATTTCTTTACGCTACTAATTATTTTTTGTTGTGCCGGGAAATATTTGCTTTATGATAGATGACCAATTAAGCTTTAATAAATACATGAATTTCATAATATTTTCCATGATAATTCCCTGATACATAATAATAAAGTAATTATTAAAAAAACAACACTTCCAAAAATTATAAGAACAAAATTTAAATGAAAAAAAAATTGGAATTTAAAAAAAAAATTAAAATCATGGTTGGGCTAAGTACAGGGTGA